GGTGTAGTGCCATGACCTACTTGATGCATGTTAATGTTGGTCAAGTTTCAGGGCCGGCTTTAGTTTCGGCGAACTGAGGTGGTTTGGATTTGGGGTTTCGGGGTAGCCTTCGGGTTGGGCTTTGGGTGGTGTGGGAAGTGTTGTGGTTTCGTAATGGGTGCACTTTCGATTTCCTTTCTATGTAGATTGGTATCTTTCTCCGGTATTGTCAACAATGTGGTGTTAATTGAGTGGCTAGGAAGCAGTGGCGTACGTCTAGAGTTCGTTGCGTTTTGATTCTCAGGTGTCGTTCACCTCTGATGGTTCTTTGTTTTCGGGTGTTTGAATTAAGAAATGAAAAGACACCTTTAGATGTGTCTAGAAACGTGACATGGCGTAGAAAGTAAAAATAAACGCGCGAAAATCTCAATAATAATGTATGTAGTTCCATTTTATTTTAGCTTATTTTTTGGCGCGACATTTGAATCCGTGCGCATTTGTGGCGGGAAATTCAAATCCTCAAAATATATTTAGAGTTTTAAATCAAGTAACTACAATGATTACTTGGTTCTGGTCCAAAAATTATGATTTGTAAAAGAAAAACTCATTTGAAACATACGCTTAGCACGCTTCTATTTTAACATTGGTTATATATATCTTTATTTTAAGTTATACAAATAATTTTAGCAATCTCATCGTGATGTATGATGACGTCACTGTTACGTGAGCTACTTGAGCAAAGTTCACGTGTTTCGGTCCTTTGTGTTGAGTTTTGATTTCTGTCGGGTGGCAGCAACATCGAAGCTCCGTTTTAACTTAAAAGTAGCACATGCCCGCGAATTGCTAATTTATTGTTAATAAATATTAGTAAAAATGTTTTGCGTTGATGCTATGAACACGAAGGAAAGTGGATATTTTTCCAAAAATGCCCGAAAACGAAGTAAGTACGATTTGAGTTTTAATTTATCTAGGCCCGTGATTCGTGTATCGACAAATATAAATTATCATGATATAATAAACAATATTTAAATATAATTAACGTTATTTATACCGTTTAAATATATGATAAGCATTAATATGTCATAATTAAACGGAAAAACGTTCTCCTACAAACATGTAGTTATTAAAAACAATTCAAAATGTTTAAATTTTGTTAAATTAACCCCAAAAATGTGCAATTTTCCTGCCAAAATATGAAAAATATTTTTGCAATCTCATCGTTACGTACGATGACGTCATTGTCACGTGAGCTACCTGAACAAAGGTGGCGTTTTTCTGTCCTTTGTGTTTAGTTTTCATTTCGATCTGATAGCGACAACTTCGGCGTGTCGTTTTGGGGTGAAATTAACGCGTTTTCGCAAATTTCTAATTTATTGTTAATAAATATTAACGAAAATCTTTTGCATTATGCTGTTAACACAATGGAAAATGGATATTTTTCCAAAAATGCGCGAAAACGGCGTACGTACGAATTATGTTATAATTTATCGAGGTCCGTTATTCGTATATTCGACAAATATAAAAAAAATATAAATTATCATGACACAGTAAATAATATTTAAACATAATTAACATTGTTTATTAAACATTGTTAAATTAATTCCGAAAATGTACAATTTCCTGGTTAAAATATCAAAAATAATTTTTGCAATCTCATCGTGACGTGCGATGACGTGAGCGTCATGTGAGCTACCTGAGCAAAGATCGCGTTTGTCGGTCCTTTGTGTTCAGTTTTGATTTCGATCTGATGGCGACAACTTCGGCGTGTCGTTTTGGGGTAAAAGTAACGCGTTTTCGCGAATTTCTAATTTATTGCGTTCGTGCTGTGAACACGAAGGACTTTTTTCAAAAATGCCCGAGTTTGCTTTTGATTTATGTTAAAAATATGCATCGAATCAGGCATTCAGCATTGATAAAGTACGGTTTCGAAGTTTATAAAGTACGGCGTTCATAATTTATAAAATGCGGTGTCCTTCATCCACGCTAGCAAACCCTAATCCTCTCTTTTCATGGCAAGATCTGCTCTAGACCTTCCCGTGGTTCTTGCTGAGCATCGACGAACCAGGCCAAAAAATTCAAATATGTATTTAAAGCCAGCAAAGTTGCACAAAATTCGTGAAATTCGCTCGTTGGTGGCCAACGTGGAGCAAGGGGGTCTTTTGTAACTGAAACATTTATACTGTTTAAATATGACAAGTATAAATATGTCATAATTAAACCGACAAGCGTTTTTCTACAAACATGAAGTTATTAAAAACAATTCAGTTTGTTTAAACATTGTTAAATTAATTGATCACTTCGTAATTTTACTCATCAATTCATCATACTTTACACATTTAAGATAAGATTTATTCAGCGAAATTTTGAGTTGACGTCATCAATTTTTTGGAGGGGATAAGTAAATAAACTTTGATTAAAAATTTACCATGCTTATCACAACTTTAGAACATCTGCAACATTTCAAAGCATTCGGTTTTGGAGATTTAAAAAAAAAAAACAGAAAAAGATGATAGAAAAGCAAACAAAGTGAAAAAAAAATCACAAAAAATGCGAAAAGCCACTGAAAAAGGCGGTCAAAAAAACAAAAAAAATCAAAAAAGGTTTTACAAAAAGTGAGCAAGCTAATTTTATCCGGTCTAGCTCGAGTTCAAATAATCAAGATATAAATATGTATTGTCATACATAAACAACTTTAGGTTCAACGTTTAAGAAGTTAATTTTGTATCCAAGACATGATGCGTATTGTTGGTTGCATAATTATTGTAGATTAATATTGATTCAAAGTTTGTGAATTTATTATGTTGTTTTTGTCTCTAAAAATTAGTTTCCGATCAACATATTGCACAGTTCTTAATTGTGGATAAGAAAAAAACAACCCAATAGTTTCATTATTTATTAATAAAATCACATTCACACTCAGACTCTTTAAATCTAATTAATTTCACAACATTTTGCTAAAATAAATGATGCATAAGATCAACTTATAAGAGTAAATATGACAAAAACAATAAATTAAGTAAATGCGATAAAAAAGGAGCTAAAAAGTTACCTAAAACAAAAAGAATTAAAAGTGACTCAAAAAAAAAAACACAAAAATGCAACAACAAAAACCACAAAAAAGGCAAGAAAAATGGGAATAAAAAGAGACAAACAAATGTTAAAAAGCTAATAAAAGGGAGATAAAAAAGAGTAAAAAGTTACATTTTTTTTATTAATAGGGTGATAAAAAGGTACCAAAAAAAAGAGTATAAAAAGAGACAAAGTCCACAAAAATGACACAAATAAAACACATAACGAGAAAAAAACCACACAAAAGCGAAAAAATTCGACAAAAGTGCATAACAAAATGCGAAAAAACAGCGACTAAAAAAAAACGATCAAAAAAGACAAGAAAAGAGACCAAAAATGATGATTAAAAGGGCACCGAAAATGGGACGTCAAATTTTGTGATAACGTCGTTAAGGTTCTAAAACGAATGAATAAGCAAATTTTACTCAGTGTAGTTCTAGTTTAATTGATCGACGTGTAAATATAGTCAACAATTTTAGCATTTACGAAGTCAATTTCATGTTCTCCAAAACAATGATGTGTATTGTCGGTTGCATACCTATCATTAATTAATATTTGTCAAAAAATTATGAATTTGTTGTATTGTTTTTGCCTCTAAAAAATTGTTTCCTGTAAACGGATTATCATGATGTTAATTTATACATTAAAAAAAAGCAACCAAATATTCTCATTTTTATTAATAACATTTTTTGTCCAAATTACATGACTTATAATTACACAGCGATTCTGTACAAAATAATTCCGGCGCAACTTGATTGTACTCTCGCAGACTCGATTGACCCGAGGTGGCTTCTATTTAAACCTATACGTTTCTCTCATGGTTCGAGAACGCCGCTTCGACGGTTTTCTGGGTTGCCCATCGCGACTTCCGCTCCCAGGCTTTCCGTCGTCACCAGTCATCATCACCGTACATATCAGAATAAACACATACATACTAGAAGACCCATAGGCGTCGTACCGGGGCGGCGTATGGGTTTCATTTGTAATACTATTATAAATTGATCTTAAGCATCATTAACTTTGGCAAAAAAATTTATTAATAAAAAATGTTCATAAAAAATACTTCAAAAACGCAAAAAAGCGACAAAAAGGCACCAAAAAATGATTATAAGATACGAGTATTACCCAAGAAACAGAAAAAGACGACAGGAAACCAAAAAAATGTGAAAAAATTCACAAAAAATGCGAAAAGCGCCTGGAAAAGGCGACAAAAAAACAAAGAATAGACAAAAAAGATTGTAAATGAGCAAGCAAATTTTATCCGGTCTAGGTCGAGCTTAAACGATAAAGATGTAAATATGTATTGTTATAAACACCTTTATGTTCAACGTTTATGAAATTAATTTCATGCTGTTCGGATCTCTATGTATTGTTGGTTGCAGAATTATTGTAGATTAATATTGATCCAAAAATTATAGATTTATTATATTGTTTTTGTCTCTAGAAATTAGTTTTCTGTAAACATATTGCAAAGTTGTTATTTGTGGATAAAAAACAATCCAATAGCCTAATTTTTTGCATAAAATCAACTTATAAGGGACAATATGATAAAAACTATAAATTAAAAAAAATGCGATAAAAAAATGAGCCAAAAAGCGACTTAAAACAAAGAGAATTAGAAGTGAGACTCAGAAAATGTGACAACAAAACTACAAAAAAGGCAAGAAAAATGGAAATAAAAAAGACAAACAAATATTTAAAAAGCTAATAGAAGGGTGACAAAAAAGAAAAAGGTTACATTTTTTTAATACGTCAAACAAAGGCGAAAAAATGTGATGAATAAGAAAGGGGAAATAATTTAATATTATCCAAAACAATGATGTGTATTGTTGGTTGCCTAATTATTATTACTGACTGGTCAAAAAATTGAATTTATTGTATTGTTTTAGCCCCAAAAATCACTTTTCTGTAAACATATTATAAAGGTGATAATCTCGCATTGAAAAACCAAATAGTCTCAATTTTTATTAATAAAATCACATCTATATAAAATTCCGCTTTAAAAGTACATAATTACATCACCACATCTCAACATGTTTTGCTAAAATTAATGATGCATAAGATCAACTTATAATAGACAATATGATAAAAACTATAAATTAAAAAATACGTCTAGTTAAAAACAACATTACAACACTAAATTATGCAAAACATTCCGTGTCGCTAGGACGAAGTTCCTCGGCCGGCTTCATACCCCGGAAACAGCAACTTGAGCGCCTTCCCCAGCTTGTCATTAACTCTCATAACATACTTCTCAGTCAAGTCGAAGCGACACCACGGGCACACGTATATTTGAGCAGAGAAGGACCGTTTTAAACAACTCTAGGAAAACAAAAACAAAACAAAATTAAAAATATACAGTGTGTTTGATTTACCTTGCACACATTGTGCTTGCACGGAAGCGTAAGCGGCTCATAAACCACCTCCTGGCAACAAACACACAAAAATATTTCTTCAACTTTACTGAGAAACTTCTGTTTGCCCTCTCGCACCGCCTCCTTACATTCCAGCCACAACTTCTCGTTGTCGCTGTCTAACGCTACGTGCTTCTCCACCTCCTTGCTCAGCTCATAAACCTCCACTTTCCTCTTTTTCCCCGTCGATAGATACTTTGTGATGGAGTTCGGCGAACTTTGGCGCTTCCGTTTGCCGCCTTTCTTTGCTGATTCTTCTTCTTTACTGATTTCTTCGGCTTCCAAATGACCTGGTGGATACTTAAACACTCGTTATTACCAAAATTAATTCCTCCTTGGACTTACTTACAATCATCTCGAATTCTTTCCCGCCTTTTTGCCACGGCGCCGGCACTGGATCGTCCCTCCGCAACAAATAACGCCAGACGACAAATCCGGATTTTCCTTTCTCTGGATAATACTTGACCACTTTGTAGATCCCGTCGTATCTATTCCCGTCAGTCGGCGCGTATTTGGAGTGTTTACTCAGTTTGTAGTTTCTCACGACTCGGACGGGTTTGCCCTTTTTCCAGTCCTTGGCTTCGCCTCCGGTTTTCTCGTTGAATTTAACGTTGCAGTTGAGTGCGAGAGCCCTAAAATGGACATTTTTGTAACGATTTATTTTTTTTGTTAAGTTGTTTTTTTACTTGTTCATTCTTGTTAATTTCTGGTCGCAGCTCTGGCCGCTCACCCGTTTGTTTCCGGAGAGGTCGCGTCCGCCCGATCCTGTGTAGTAAAATTCCTCCCCGTTGTCGATGTCGTCTTCGTAGCCACCGCTCAAGACTAAACTGTAAGCTCCGTCGCTTTCTCGGCCGTGGATTCCGGCGACGTGGGGTCTGTGGATGCCGGCTTCAGACACCTAGAATTTGTGCGATTGAGAATGGAAGAGTTTGGCTCCAGATATTATCATTATTTTTTCAATCAAACAAGGGATGAGAAAAGTCCTTAGTGGCAAATTTTAAATGTATTCCGAACTGAGAATTGCCTGAGATCTAAATGTTTAAATATCAATAAACACTTTTCAGGTCAGTCGGTTTGTATTTTCTAAAAAAAAAATTTTTAATTTTCTTGCAAAATTTTCAATTTTGTCCAAAAATTGGTCTAAACTTCCTTAAATAAAATAATAAAATGTTATTTAAAAAATTACATAGTTTTTATGATAACCCCTGTATACTACAGAGTTTCTTTTAAGCGAGTTTTCCATAATAAAAAAAAGACAAAAAAGGTGATCAAAAAGAGATAAAAAAGGAACCTACAAAAGGAGCTCCAAAAATATGATAAACAACTATTAAAATGACCAAAAAGGTACACAAAAAAGAAATAAAAAGAAACAAGCAAATGCCACAAACAAAAACGCGATAAAAAGGGGAAAAATGACAAAAAACGGAAAAAAGCAATAAAGAAGAACTAAAAAAAGATGTTAAAAATGAATTTAAAAAATGCTAAAAAAAATGACTACCACAATAGGAGTCAGAAATTACAAAGAGTCAGAAAATGTAATAAAAAAAAAGTTAAGTCAAACAAAAAGAGTTGAAAAAAGCGACACAAAAGTATACAAAAAATGGGCCCATAAAGGGGCACCAACATATTTATAAACATATACAAGCAAATGTTAAAAAAAAAGAAAATGCCATAAAAAGGCAACAACAAATGAGTAAAAAGAAAATGAAAAATAAATATTTAAAAAATACTATAAAAAACGATAAAATCGAAAAAAGGGCACGCAATTTTCACAAAAAATGCGTCAAAAAAAAGTAATACGGCGATAGAGAGGCGACAAAAAGGAGCACCAAAAAAGGGGGACAAAAAGGGAATAAACTCCACAAAAATGAGACCAAAAAAAAATACAACACGAAAAAGATGACACAAAACCGAAGAAAATGTCACAAAACTTTCACAAAAATGCGCCGAGGAAAAAGACGAAAAGCAAATGATTAAAAAAGGATGACAAAAAGAGACCAAAAATACGACAACGAAAAAAAATCGATCAAAAAATGATAAAAAAGAGGCCCAAAAAAGTGCGATAAGAAAAGGGACCAAAAAAAGCGACTAAAATGAGATAATAAAAACGACAAAAAAAGATCAAAAAATGGAAAAAGAAACAAGGAAATGCCAAAAAACCCGATAGAAAAGACGAAAAAACACTAAAAGTGAATAAATAAAGCGACGAAAAGGGGGCCAAAAAAGATGACAAAGGGCCAAAAAGGAAAATAAAAAAGGAAATAAAACAGACAAAAAGGAGGAAAGAAGTACACAAAAATGAGACAAAACAAAAACAAGGAAGACAACACAGGCGAAAAGAAAGCGACTAACAAAGGGGACAAAAAAAGACCAAAAAAGATTATATAGAAGGGATCCAAAAAGGGAGCGATAATGGGGCCAAAAAACCCCCTTAAAATAAAACGAGTAAAGCAAAAAAAAGGAAATATTGAGGAAAAAGAAATCCAACAATGCTATAAAAAAACGAGAAAAACGAAATAAATATAAGCCAATGTTAAAAAAAAAGTGATAAAAAAGGCAAAAGGCCACCAAATTTTACAAAAGGCGACAAAAACAGACAACAAGAAAAATACGACACAAAACCGCAAAACGCGACAAAAATTTCACTAAAAAAAATGCGCCAAAAAAGGCGAAAACAAAGCTACAAAAAAAGAGCTATCAAAACAGATCAAAAAAGCGACTAAAATGCGTTAATAAAAACGACAAAAAAAGGATTAAAAAAAAAAGGAAAAAGAAACAAGTAAATAATAAAAAAGACGATAAAAAACGACCAAAAAGAAAGCCAGAAAAGAGGATTAAAAACACAAAAATGAGAAAGAACTAGAGAAAAATGAGACAAAACAAAAACGACGAAAAGATGACACCAAAGCGAAAAAATGGCACAAAACTTTCTCAAAAATGCAACAAAAAAAAAAGGTGAAAAGGAATCTACTTAAAAATGGGACAAAAAGAAACCAAAAAGATGATATAAAGGGGATCGAAAAAGGAGCACTAAAAAATACGATAATGAGGGCAAAAAAGACCCAAAAAACGAGTGAAGCCATAACAGTTAGTTAGAAATTCAGAAGATGTGACAAAAAAAAACGACAAAAATGCGACAACAAAAAAGACAAGAAAAAGGGACTAAAAATAGACAATCAAATGTTAAAAAAATGCTAGCAAAAAGGGAAAAAAGCAGGCGAAAAAAAGTTAGAGAAAAAAAAGGAAATGTGGAGCAAAAAGCCGATATAACAGGGACCCAAAAATTCTATAAGAAAAATACAATAAAAACGACAAAAAGACATCAAAAAAGGAAATAAATATAAGTTTAAATGTTAATAAAAAAAATTCCAACATAAGAAAAACACGATAAAAACGACAAAAAAAAAACACCAAAAAGAAAATAAAACAAATGTTAAAAAAAGGGCATCATAAAAAAACAGACAACAAGAAAAGACGACACAAAACCGAAAGAAAGCGAAGAAAATTTCACAAAAAATGCGACAAAAAAGGTGAATCAAACAGATCACAAAAAGACTATAAAAAAGGGTCTCAAAAAAAGTGCGATAAGAAAAGAGGCCAAAAGAACGATAATAAAAACGACAACAAAAAGATCAAAGAAGGGAAAAAGAAACAAGTAGATGATAAAAAAAAAAACGATAAAATAGTTTAAAAAAATCACTAAAAGACAGTGAATAAATAAAGCGATAAAAAGGGGACCAAAAAGATGATATAAAAGGGATTCAAAAAGGGGCATCAAAAATGCGATAATGGGGGCAATGTTAAAATATATTATAAAAATTATAAATTTGACGTGTACAAAACTAATGTAGTGGTTAAGTACAAATAAAATTATTATTTATTTAAACAATGTTTACAATACATGAGTGAAAAAAGGCGAAAGCAGCGACTTAAAAGAAAGACAAAAAGGGGTGAAAAATGGTGACAAAGATGAAAAAAAAAAATGGGAAAAAGGTCCACAGAAATGGGACAAAAACAAAACAATAAGAATAAGATTAAAATGCGACAATAAAAACGACGAAAAAGGATCAAAAAACGGGAAAAAGAAACAAGCAAATGATAAAAAACCTTTTTTTTTCACTAAAAGAAAGTGATAAAAAAGCGATAAAAAGGGCCAAAAAAAGAAATAAAAAAATGAGACAAAACAAAAAGAACCACGAAAAGACTTCACAAAACCAAAAAAATGCGACAAAAATTTCACAAATATGTAATGCGAAAAGACATCGACCAAAAAAAGGAAATAATAAAAAGATTGAAAAGAGGTCCCAAAACAAAGGGAATTAGGAAATCAGAAACAAAAAAGAGACAAGAAAGACGGAAATAAAAAAAAACAATAATCTTTTCGGGTGATTTCTGACTCATGCTTGACAAACGCTCAAAAAATTTATATTGAAAATTTGAGATGTTTGCAAAGTTGCGTAAAAATCCTCAAAAAAAATTCGGGCATAAATCTTACGAGAGCTCCTTTGAAAGACAGAAAGTATTAAGGACACCAGACCAAAATTTTCGAAAAATTTGGTTTGATAATGATTTTTTTTTCTTATCGATTCTGGAAAAATTGTTGGAATTTTAGAAGAAATGGAACCGAAAACAACGTCTACAAATCGAAATCCACAAAAAAATGTCCCTGGATAATCTTCAAATTGTCCGAAAAACTGTTTTTTTAATTATTTTTCGATAGTTTCGGAGATTATCTTAATTATAGTAGCAGGTACTAGCCCCGCCCACCCACCCTTTATTTTCTTGGAGGATGTCATTTGTGAAAATCAGTTTTATCTTAGCAAATGCTTACTATAGTAATTTTTTCATAGTCTAAGCAAAAAGGCTCCAAGAACCACTTGATTTTCGCAGATGAAACGAAATTAATTTTCAGAAAAATTGTAAAAAAAAACAAAAAAAAAAATGCGTTTTACTTACTTGAAGCCTAAACTTCCAACACGTGCCCACCTCGACCCCAGGTACAGGCCCATAATGGTGCTTTGGTACTATAGTGCATTCGCTCGTCCTCCCAACGCACGCCATCCCCTTGCCCCAATCCCGATTCGTCGTCGCCCCCTCTTTATTGCTCACCATTTTCATTTTTTTCTTACTAAGTTTTAACTTTTCGCCCGCTTTCACAATTTCGCTATCGTCAGTTTTACAATCAGGACAATACCATTCTGGCTCAGAAGGAATTTCTGATAATGGTGGGCTCAAACACGATATGTGATATGCTTTGTCACACTGATCACACAGGATTAAAGTGCCAGCGTTTTCTTTCTTAGCACAAACAAAACAGCCGCACTCTTTACATTTTTTAGTGGGGACGTCTTTACACTTGTTACAGTATAGTGGTAGTTTTCCTGAAATTAAAATGGGTGATTTTTGAAAGTAAGAAAAAAATTAAGGAAGTACTCATGGGAATGTCTTTGTTGCGGTCTTCTGATTCTTCTATTAGTGTGGGTTCCTCGATTCGCATTATTTCGTCCGTGAATTTTATCACGCAGTTGTCGAGTCGCGCTTGTTCGGCGCCCACTAGCAACGTACCTTTGATTTCTTTTTTGGTGATTTGGTTTATTTCAAAATCGTACCTATGGTGGGACAAAAACAATGAAAAGTGGAGGCTTAATTAGAAAAATTTACCAATATCCACGAGTTGAAGGTTTTTCAATATTATAGTTAGCAAAAACTATCATCCCAGGCTTTAGTTCTGGAAACTTGTAAGTGTAGTGGGAACGTGGCCTAATTTCGCTGAACTTAACTTCAAATGGGGCTGTTTCCACATTCCTACAATACCAACCGGTCCATAAAAATTTACACTATTATTATTGTTATTAGATCTAACCTGTCCATCCGGATTTTAAAAATCAAACTATCCTCATCCACCTCCTCCACACCCTCTTTCCTGTAAATGTTCATAATTTTCGCTTCAAACCAAGCCCCGTGATCGCCATCGATGACATCAATGCGATCGCCATGTTGGTAATAAACACTCGTTGCTTCCACTTTCTCTTCACTTCGACTTTGTTTGTCTTTCTCAGCATTGGGACTCTTGTTCTCTTTTCCAGTCGTCTTCCCCAAATCCTCCTCCTTCTTCACGTGCAACTGAATAACGTCATTCAACTGGATGTCGTAGTCAGTGATCCTGTGATCCGAAATCAACTAAAACAACCGTTAAAGCAGGAATTCTCCCCTAGAACAGCACTCACTTGTTTGCCTCTATAATACAACATCTGGTGACGAATTTCCACGTTTAATTTGCTACAAATCATCTTCTGGAGCTCTTCGATTAGAGCTGTTTTCGAGACTTTTAAAACCAAGTCGTCGTCTTTGGTCGTCGAGGTTAGTTTTCGGATTCGTACGTGCATTTTGGGTCCTAGAATGGCACAGATTGCTGGCGAGTGTATAAAATAGGGGCTTTCAGTCACCAGTCGAAGAGAAATTTTAAATTAATACGTGAACTAGAAATCAAAACTTGGTGTTTGTTTACTAAAAAACGGCGCCAAAAAGTGACGAAATAGCGTGGCACGGGTTGATAACTGCAACTCTTGTGCGCATGCGTCGTCTCAGTGTCTACGGTGCCTCGGTCGGTATTTTAACAGCTAGAAAAATACCAATTGTTTATCGTGATTAAGAAACTATCAAATTTTTGGGTTGGCTTTGTCTAGATAATACCAGCGAGGTTGGCGAAACGCGTCGGTAAATATTTTGGGCATTAAAAGCTTATTATTATTCATTACTTATTTCTTATTTCAAAGTTTAAAGTATAAAATATTTACTTCGAAATAATAAGGGTCTTAAAAAAAGTTATTATTCAGAGTGAGTCATTAAGTACGTGGTCCTCAACATCATTAAACAACATTTTCATATGTAGAAAAATAAACTTTATCAAATAATCCAGTCAAAATTATAGCGTCTCATTTAAAAAGATCATTGATGACGTCATAACTTTTATAAATTTGACATAGCCATCTTTTCACAACAAGAAACTTAAAATATGGTTAAAATGGTACATTTTTGTAAGGACCCTAATTGTCGATACATTTTAAAACAAAAAGGCAAAATATAAGCCCGCCCACCCGCCCTATCTCAATTGTAATGATTTTTTTTATTCGCCGTGAATCCCCTTGGTTGGAGCTTAACTACAAAATAGTTATTTCTTTACAAGAAATTAAAAGCATGTTTTTGAGTATCGTGTGGTTCAAAGAATACCTACTATGTATGTTTAGAAAAAAAGGCAAAATATATTCAATTGTGGTGATTTTTTTTATACTTAGAAACTTGAAACATGTTTAAAATGTTAAATTTTTGTAGGGAAATACGGATTTTCCAATTAGGCTTCTTATAAAACCACCTTACAACTACATATTTAGATCAGGTCAGGTTTGTGTTTAATTTTTTCTAAATATTTTTTGATTTTTCACTTTCCCGATTTAAACTTTTTCGATTTTTCTTCACCCCCGATTTTTCGATTTTTCGGTTTTGGTTTTTCAATTTTTGAAGTTTTTATTTTAAAATTTCAGATTTTCAATTTTTAAATTTGAATTTTCCATTTTTCGGTTTTACAATTTTTGCAATTTTCAGATTTCCGAATTTTGATTTTTCGACTTTCAAGTTTCTCGATTTTTAGTCGTTCAATTTTTGGAGTTTTCAATTTAAAATTCTACAGTGCTTCAATTTTTACAATTTGGTGTTTGTCCACTTTTTCGTCAATTTGCAATTTTTCCTTTTTACGATTCCTCGATTTTTAATTTTTCAGTTTTTCGATTTTTAGTTTTTCAACTCTTGAAATTTTTAATTTTTAAATTCAGTTTTTCAGTTTTTAAACTTGAATTTTTCAATTTTTCGTTTTAGATTTTTTATTTATCCATTTTTCAGTGTCTCGATTTTTGAGTTTCTTCATTCTGAAATTTTTCGTTTCTTCATTGTTCGATTTTTTAGTTTCTCGATTTTTTATTTATTAGATTTTTCAGTTTCTGGATTTTTAAATTTTTCGATTTTTGAGTTCAACGATTTTTAATTTTTTTGATTTTTTAGTTTTTCATTTTTTTATTTTTGGATTTTTCAGTTTCTGGATTTTTCAAATCCCCGATTTTTCTATTTTTCGATTTTTAGATTTTCAATTTTTGAAGTTTCAATTTTAAAATTGTCAGTTTTTCAATTTTAGAATTTTTATTAAACTTGAATTTTTCCATTTTTCGATTTTACAATTTTTCCGTTTTTCAGTTTCTCAATGTTTGATTTTTTTAATTTTTCAGTTCCTGAATTTGTCAGTTTTTCTATTTTTGGTTTCTCATTTCAAAATTTTTCGATTTTTTAATTTCTTGATTTTTCGATTTTTAGATCTTCAGTTATTCAACCTTTGAGGTATTTCGATTTTTCTGTTTTTAGATTTTTAATTTTTCATTTTTCAGTTTCTCGATTTTTAATTTTCCGGTTTTCGAGTTTCTCCATTTTGCAATTTTTCGTTTTTTCATTTTTCGATTTTGCAATCCTAGATTTTTGATTTTAAAATTTTCCAGTTTCTGGATTTTTTAGTTTTTCGATTTTAAAGATCCACGAATTTTAATTTTTCGTTTTTTTTTTATTTTTCAATTTTTTAGTTTCCCGATTTTTGACTTATTACATTTTTCAGTTTTTGGATTTTCTAATTTTTCGATTTTTGAGTTTCACGATTTTTAATTTTTCGTTTTTGATTTTTTCGATTTTTAATTTTTTTGATTTTTCAGTTTCTCAACTTTTGATTTTTAGATTTTTCAGTTTCTGGATTTTTCAAATCCCCGATTATCCTATTTTTTGATTTTCACTTTTTCAATTTTAGAATTTTTAAACTTGAATTTTTTCATTTTTCGATTTTACAATTTTTCCGTATTTCAGTTTCTCAATGTTTGATTTTTTTTAATTTTTCAATTTCTGAATTTGTCAGTTTTTCGATTTTTTGTTTCTCATTTCAAAATTTTTGGATTTTTCAATTTCTTGATTTTTAGATTTTCAGATCTTCAGTTATTCAACTTTTAAGGTTTTTCGATTTTTCTGTTTTTAGATTTTTAATTTTTCTATTTTCCAGTTTCTCGATTTTTAATTTTCCGATTTTCGAGTTTCTCCGTTTTGCAATTTTTCGTTTTTTCATTTTTCGATTTTTCAATCCTAGATTTTTGATTTTAAAATTTTCCAGTTTCTGGATTTTTTAGTTTTTCGATTTTAAAGTTCCACGAATTTTAATTTTTCGTTTTTTTTATTTTTCAATTTTTTAGTTTCCCGATTTTTGATTTATTACATTTTTCAGTTTTTGGATTTTCTAATTTTTCGATTTTTGAGTTCCACGATTTTTAATTTTTCGTTTTTGATTTTTTCGATTTTTAATTTTTTTGATTTTTCAGTTTCTCAACTTTTGATTTTTAGATTTTTCAGTTTCTGGATTTTTCAAATACCCGATTATCCTATTTTTTGATTTTTAGGTTTTCAATTTTAAAATTTTCAGTTTTTCAATTTTAGAATTTTTAAACTTGAATTTTTCCATTTTACGATTTTACAATGTTTCCGTTTTTCAGTTTCTCAATGTTTGATTTTTTTTAATTTTTCAGTTTCTGAATTTGTCAGTTTTTCGATTTTTGGTTTCTTATTTCAAAATTTTTCGATTTTTCAATCCTAGATTTTTAATTTTTCCATTTTTCAGTTTCTCGATTTTTAATTTTCCGATTTTCCAGTTTCTTCATTTTGCAATATTTCGTTTTTTCATTTTTCTGTTCTAGATTTTTGATTTTTAGATTTTCTAGTTTCTGGATTTTTACTTTTTCGATTTTTAAGTTCCACGATTTTTAACTTTTATTTTTTTATTTTTTTTTTGATTTTTCAGTTTCTCGATTTTTGATTTGTCGATTTTTCAATTTCTCGATTTTTAATTTTTAGATTTTTCACTTTCTGAATTTTTCAGTTTTTCGATTTTTCAATTTCTTGATTTTTAGACTTTTAGATCTTCAGTTTTTCAATTCTTGAGGTATTTCGATTTTCCAATTTTTCGAATTTTCGATTTTTCTATTTTTAGATTTTAATTTTTTGATTTTTAGATTTTCCAGTTTCTGGATTTTTAGTTCATCGATTTTTAAGTTCCACGATTTTTAATTTTTATTTTTTATTTTTTCGATTTCTCAGTTTCTCGACTTTTAATTTTTAGATTTTTCAGTTTCTGAATTTTTTAGTTCGTCGATTTTTGTATTTTTATATTTCTAGATTCTCAATTTTTGAAGCTTTTAGTTCTAAATTTTTCCATTTTTCCTTTTTACAGTTTCTCGTTTTTTCATCACTTGCTTGATTTTTCTATTTTTTCAGTTTTCGTTTTTACAGTTTTTCCATTTTTCAGTTACTCAATTTTTCAATTTTTCGATTTTTGATGTCTCAATTTAAAATTTTCCGATTTTTCAATTTGAAGATTTTTCGATTTTTAAATTTTCAGTTTTCCAATTGAGATATTTCGATTTCTCAATATTTCTAATTTTCGGTTTTTCGTTTTTTAGATTTTTAATTTTTCCATTTTTCAGTTTATCGATTTTTTTTATTTCCCGGTTTTTGAGTTCCTCCATTTTGAAAATTTTCGTCTTCTCACTTTTCGATTTTTCAGTTTCTCGATTTTTGATTTTTAAATTTTCCATTTTCTGCATTTCTTAATTTTTTGATTTTTGAGTTTTTCGATTTAATATGTTTTGTTTTTTCAATTTTTCAATTTTTACGTTCTCGATAATTTAATTGTTTAATATTTTAATTTCCCAATTTTTCTATTTTTCGATTTTCAATCGTTCAATTTTTAGGTCTTCTTGAATTGTTTCGATTTCTCAATTTTTAGAATTTTAGATTTTTATTTTTCCAATTTTTTGTTTTGCCAATTTTTTAATTTTTAATCCTTCGATTTTTTTATTTTTGAGTTCGATTTCAAAACAAATTTATTCAAACTAAAATTTTGAAAAATTGTGACTAGGGGATTTTGGATTATTTTCCTTGTTTTTACTGCATTTTCGATTTTCAGTCTGAACATCATTATAATACGCTGTTTTTTCGAAAAATCAAAAAATTAAAAAATCCAGAAATTAAAGAAACAAAAAATCGGAAAATCCAAGAATTGCAAATGAAATAATTGAAAAACGTCAGATTTTCTACATTGCAATAACGAAATTCGGGAATTTTTTCTTTTCTTTTTTTTTGTTTTTCAACAACAGACAAATTAATACTTTATTATTATACCCAATGTTGTACATTGCAAATCAAGTAAACTTAAATCCTTTCCCACGACAATTGTCCAGAATGACCATCTTCGCTCCAGGAACCAGAGAATTTGCCCCACCTTCAGGACACCCAATTTCGTTACCTCGAAGATCAACAAATGTTGCTACTTGCACGTTCCTCATGAGGTCACTTTTCCACGTTCGTATTTTATTGTAGCTTAAAACCAGACGCCTCAAACCCTTCATACCACCGAAAGCACCATCTGGAATATCCTGGATGCGATTATGATCCAGATCCAACGAACTGGATTCCGGGACGTTCTTGAAAGCGTCAGCAGGAATTGCCTCGATGGAATTATACGAAAAAATAATTGACAGCCTGGATTCTACTCCACGAAACCAATTATTGCTCCATTCTTTCACTCTATTGTTGCTAACATCAACAAAGTACAAATCTTTCATGTCGTCGAAAGCTCCACCAGCTATAAAAGAAATTTCGTTGCAGCTGAGTACAACAGATGTAATTTTCGAACCGCTGAAAACTCCCTCTGGAACTTCCCTGAGTTTGTTCCCTGATAGCGAAATCGAACTTAACTTAGGCAAATTACGCAGGTCGCCAGGACGCAGTACCGAAATAGAGTTATTTCCCAAATCTAAACTCACTATGTCTTTGTTATCAAAAACTGAGGCGTCGATTTCTTCGATATCGTTCTTGAATAACGACAAACCTATTCCAAACTTATCCCGTCCTGAGACTTCCGCGAAAGTTCCAGCTTCAATTGTCGAGATGCTGTTATTCCCCAGGGAAAAGATCCCGAGGGACACGTTCCCGAAAACCCCTCGCTTCAATTCCCGTAAATCATTGCTTTCGAGACTCAATTCTCGAAGATTCCACAAGTTCTGGAAAGCTCCCTCACGTAAAACCGAAATGGAATTTCGTCCTAGATACAACAACGAAGTTTCCAAATTCACGAAAGTCCCACTTTTAAGTTCGCGCAGATTCGTATCCTCCAAACTTACACTTTTTAGCCGTGGTAGATCCTTGAAGGTTCCTGGTTGGATTTCTTTCAAGGTCGCGTCTACGATTTCTATTTCACGTAGCTTGGGAATGTCTTTGAAGGAGTCTTCGTAGAGAGCTTCCACTTGTCCTTGCACTGTGATGCGTTTGTTCTGGTCGGTGTTTCCAAGACAGCTGGTTTTGGTGTGGTGTGTGGAGGCGTTTCTGAGAATGTTGGTTGCCAAGGTATTTCCATAAGGTGTAGCTATGAGATCACAAGTTATTGTTGCACTGTGTGTAGTTCCAAGCACGAAAGTTAAAATAATAGTAAGCAAAATAATAGTGGTTTTCATTGTTACGTTTTGTTCGATGTTACTTGTTCGATTGAAGTATTGTTTGTTGGTTGTTTCAGCAAGAACACTGATAATTTTGTGACACAAGGTTATCGTTGGGTTTTCACATTTTTTACACAATACATTGCAAGCATTTTTAAAACAGCAGTGATCCCATTTAGATGAATCTAATAAAATACGGACAATTATTAATTATTCATTTTAACTTTGAGTTAAATTTATTCCAGGTTTTATAAAATCCAATCCAACTTCACTTTTTCTAACTTAATTGAAATTGTATTTGTTTAGTTGGTTGTACTTCAGGGGCAAGGAATGTTCTGTCTAAATACCTGGTCAATTTTTTAAAATTAATTCCAGCTGTGATTCAGAAAGATCGGCTTCAGAGTTTGAGGATGACGTTTATGAAACAATTCCAGAAGAATAATGTAATTTCTTTCGTTTATACAAAATTACGATTTAAAAAAAAATCCCATTTTTTGGAAACTTTTAATCCGGGACTATGGGCACGCTATATTTGTCGAACCAGACGTGGATATCTACGTTCCAGAATTTTTTTGAAAATTTTGAACAACTTTTTCAAACACTCAGTTTTTAAGTACTCCACGTTTGACATTTTCGACCAATTTTTGCCCATTTTAGAAAATTAGCCAGACATTTTGTTGTAGTTTTCAACGTCTAGAAAACTTTCCGCTTCGACTCATCGGAAAATTCTCCCGTTTTTACAAAATCGACAATTGAAATACGACAATTTTTATGATTTTTTGAAAATTTCAATTTCAATTAGAATTTTTCGTCAATTTTTAATCTGCGATATGAACACGATATATTTTTCGAATCAGCACGTCGATATCTACATTACAGATTTTTTTTGAGAATTATTGGCCAATTTTTTCAAAAGTCCAATTTTCTCCTTCGTTTCCTTAGTAAATTCTACAGTTTCTCCAGAATCGCCAGTTGAAATTTCGCAATTTATAAGATTTATTTAAATTTCATTTTCAATCCGAATTTTTGGGAATTTTTAATTTGGAACAATCAACACGCTATATTTTTCGAATCAGCACGTCGTACGTTCCATAATTTTTTGAGAATTTTTGGATCACTTTTCCAAACGCTTAATTTTCCAATACTTTCCAGTTTTGATATTTTCGACCATTGTCGAAAATTAGCTAAACACATTTTCTTGTAGTTTTCCACATCCAGAAGTCATTTCCCGCTTCGATTTCCGTTTTCATGAAATCGCCAACTGAAATATGGCAATTTTTATGATTTAAAAAAAATTTTTTTTTCAATCCGAATTTTTCGAAAATTTTTAATGCGGGACTACGAACGTGCTATATTTTTCGAATCACCACATCAACTTTTACATTTTAGAATTTTTTGATAATTTTTGGACAAATTTTCCAAACGGTCAATTTTTCAGTACTTCCTCATTTTTGTCCATTTTCCAAAATTAGCCAAAGACATTTTCTTCTACATTTCGACATCCAGAAGTCATTTTCGCCTTCGTTTCTTCGGAAATTGCTACCGTTTTTTTAAATCGCCAATTGAAATACGGTAATTTTAACAATTTTTCAAAAATTTCACATTTAATCGAAATTTTTCTGAAGTTTTTAATTTGGTACTATGAACACGCTATATTTTTCAAATCAAGTCGTCGATATTTATATTCCATAATTTTTTGAGAATTTTTGGACCACTTTGTCAACCGCTTTACTTTTTTCAATATCCCCCTTTTTGACGTTTTCGATCATTTTCAAAAGTTAGATAAAGATATTTTCTTGTACATCTCGACATCCAGAAGTTATTTTAAAATTACAGATTTTCAATTTTTAAATTTGAATTTTCCATTTTTCGTTTTTACAATTTTTCCATTTTTCAGTTTTCCGACTTTCAAGTTTCTCGATTATTTAATTGTTCAATTTCCCAATTTTTCTATTTTGCGATTTTTAGTCGTTCAATTTTTGGAGTTTACAATTTGAAATTCTACAGTGCTTCAATTTTTACAACTTTGAATTTGTCCACTTTTTCGTCAATTTGCAATTTTTCGTTTTTACGATTCCTCGATTTTTAATTTTTCAGTTTTTCGATTTTTCATCACTTCCTCGATTTTTCTATTTTTCGATTTTTAGTTTTTCAACTCTTGAAATTTTTAATTTTAAAATTCAGTTTTTCAGTTTTTAATCTTGAATTTTTCAATTTTTCGTTTCAGATTTTTTATTTTTCCATTTTTCAGTGTCTCGATTTTTGGATTTCTTCATTCTGAAATTTTTCGCTTTTTTCATTTTTCAATTTTTCAGTTTCTCGATTTTTTATTTGTTAGATTTTTAGTTTCTGGATTTATAAATTTTTCGATTTTTGAGTTCCACGATTTTTAATTTTTCGTTTTTTATTTTTTCGATTTTTAATTTTTTCGATTTTTCAGTTTCTCAATTTTTTATTTTTAGATTTTTCAGTTTCTGGATTTTTCAAATCCTCGATTTTCCTATTTTCAGATTTTCAGTTTTTCACTTTTAGAATTTTTAAACTTGAATTTTTTCATTTTTCGATTTTACAATTTTTCCGTATTTCAGTTTCTCAATGTTTGATTTTTTTAATTTTTCAGTTTCTGAATTTGTCAGTTTTTCGATTTTTGGTTTCTCGTTTCAAAATTTTTCGATTTTTTAATTTCTTGATTTTTCGATTTTTAGATCTTCAGTTATTCAACCTTTAAGGTATTTCGATTTTTCTGTTTTTAGATTTTTAATTTTTCCATTTTTCAGTTTCTCGATTTTTAATTTTCCGATTTTCGAGTTTCTCCATTTTGCAATTTTTCGTTTTTTTATTTTTCGATTTTTCAGTCCTAGATTTTTGATTTTAAAATTTTCCAGTTTCTGGATTTTTTAGTTCGTCGATTTTAAAGTTCCACGAATTTTAATTTTTCGTTTTTTTATTTTTCGATTTTTTAGTTTCCCGATTTTTGATTTATTAGATTTTTCAGTTTTTGGATTTTCTAATTTTTCGATTTTTGAGTTCCACGATTTTTAATTTTTCGTTTTTGATTTTTTCGATTTTTTATTTTCTTGATTTTTCAGTTTCTCAATTTTTTATTTTTAAATTTTTCAGTTTCTGGATTTTTCAAAGCCCCGGTTTTTCTATTTTTCGATTTTTAGGTTTTCAATTTTTGAAGTTTTCATTTTTAAAATTTTCAGTTTTTCAATTTATAAACTTGAATTTTTCCATTTTACGATTTTACAATTTTTCCGTTTTTCAGTTTCTCAATGATTGATTTTTTTAATTTTTCAGTTTCTTTACTTTTTTCAATATCCCCCTTTTTGACGTTTTCGATCATTTTCAAAAGTTAGATAAAGATATTTTCTTGTACATTTCGACATCCAGAAGTTATTTTCGTCTTGGTTTCTTTGGAAATTACTACCGTTTTTCCAAAATCGCCAATTTTACCAATTTTTTAAAATTTCATTTTCAATCTGAAATTTTCGGAAATTTTTAATCCGAAAGCTAAGCTATATTTTTTGAATCAGCGCATCGATATCCACATTCCGGAATTTTTTGAGAATTTTTGGACCACTTTTTCAAACGCTCATTTTTCCAATACTTCCCAGTTTTGACATTTCGACCATTAACTAAAGATTTTCTTGTAGATTTCGATATCCACAAGACATTTTAGGCTTCGGTTCTTCGGAAATTTCTACCAATTTTCCATACTTGTCAATTAAAATATGACAATTTTTACGATTTTTTAAAACTCTCATTTTTAATCCAAAATTTTCGGAAAGATTAACATTTGGCACTATGAACATGCTATGTTTTTCGAATCAACACGTCAAGGCCTGCATTCCAGAATTTTTTTAGATTTTTCGGACCACTTTTCCAAACGCTCATTTTTCCAATACTTCCCAGTTTTGATATTTTCGACCATTTTTCGATCATTTTCGAAAATTAGCCAAAGATATTTTCTTGTAAATTTCGACATCCAGAAGCCATTTGCGGCTTCGTTTTTTCAGAAATTCCTGCAGTTTTTTTTTCAGAATCGCCGACTGAAATATATGTAGCAATTTTTTCGATTTTTTAAAAATTCCACTTTCAAACCGAAATTTTCGGAAATTTTTAATCCGGGACTATGAACAAGCTATATTTTCCGAATCAACACGTTTTTTTGTATAACTTTTCCAAACGCTCGATTTTTCAATACTCGTCCCCTATTTTTGCATTTTGAATTATTTTTCGATCATTTGCGAAAATTAGCTGAAGACATTTTCTTGTAGATTTCGACATCCAGAAGTCATTTTGGGCTTCGTTTCTTCCGAAACTCCAACCGTTTTTCCAAAATCCCCAACTGAAATATGGCAATTTTTTCGGATTTTTAAATATTCCACATTCAATCCTAATTTTTCGGAAAGTGTTAATTGAGACTATAAGCACGCTATATTTTTCGAATGAGGACGTCTAGGTCTACATTCCAGAATTTTTTTGAGATTTTTCCGACAACTTTTCCAAATACCCATTGTTTCAATACTCCCCATTTTTGACATTTTCCACCGTTTCTCGATCATTTTCGAAAATTAATCAAACACATTTTTTTGTAGATTTCCACATCCACAAGTCATTTTCGTCTTCGTTTCTTTAGTAATTCCTACCGTTTTTCCAAAATCGCCAACTGAAATAGACAATTTTTTCGATTTGTTAAAAATTCCACATTGAATCCGGATTTTTCGGAAATTTTTAATCTGGGACTATGAACACTCCATATTTTTCGAATCAGCACGTCAAGATCTACAGTCCAAAATTTTTTGAGAGTTTTTGGACAACTTTTTCAAACGCTCAATTTTTCTATTCACATTTTCGATCATTTTTCAATCATTTTCGAAAATTAGCGAAAGACGTTTTCTTGTAGTTTTCGACACCTAGAAGTCATTTTCCGCTTCGATCCTTTGGAAATCTTTCCGTTTTTACGAAATCGCCAATTGAAATAAGGCAATTTTTATGATTTTTTTAGAAATTTCATATTCAATCCGAATTTTTCGGAAATTTTTAATCGGGGACTATGAACACTCCATATTTTTCGAATAAGCACATCAAGATCTACAGTCCAAAATTTTTTCAGAATTTTTGGACAACTTTTTCAAACGCTCAATTTTTCAGTACTCCCTCCTATTGAGATTTTTGACTATTTTTCGACCGTTTTCGAAACTTAGCTGAAGACAATTTCTTGTAGTTTTCCACATCCAGAAGTCATTTCTGGCCCCGTTTTTTACAAATTCCTTCCGTTTTTAAAAATTTCACTTTCAATACGAATAATCCGAATTTTTCAGAAATTTTTAATCCGGGACTATAAACAAGCTATATTTTTCGAGTCAGCACGTTGATATCTACATCCCAGAATTTTTTAAAAATTTTTGGACAACTTTTCCAAACTCTCAATTTCCCAAAAATCACCCTTTTTGACATTTTTGACTATTTTCGAAAATGAACTAAACACATTTTCTAATAGATTTCGACACCAGAAGTCATTTACGGCTTCTTTTCTTTAGCGATTTATACCGTTTTTATCAAAAATGGCCAGTTGAAATGTCGCAATTTTTAGATTTTTTAAAAATATCATTTTCAATCGGGATTTTTCGGAAATTTTTAATCTCGGACTATAAACAAGCTATGTTTTTCGAGTCGTTGATATCTGCGTTCCACAATTTTTTGAGAATTTTTGAACAACTTGAACAACTTTCCAACGTTCAATTTTTCAATACAATTTCAATTTTGACATTTTCGACCATTTTTAGGCCTTTTTCGAAAATTAGCGAAAGACATTTTCTTGTAGATTTGGACCTCTAGAAGTCATTTCCGGTTTGGTTTCTTCGGAAATTCAAACCGTTTTCCCAAAATCATATTTTTTTGAGAATTTTTGGACAACTTTTCCAAACAACCAATTTTTCAATACTTCCCCCTTTTGACATTTTCGAAAATTAGCGAAAGACATTTTGTTGTCAAGTTCTACATTCCAGAATTTTTTGACAACTTTTCTAAACCCTCAAATTTTTAATACTCCCCGCTTTTGACATTTCGATTATTTTTCCAAAAATTCTCAAAAATTCTGTTCCAACTTCCGAATTAAAAATTTCGGGAAAAATGTTTAAAAACACCCACTTTTCGTCGTTACTAACCACAAATAATTCCCCAACCCTATCCAAAGCCTCCTAATATCGACCAAACGCCAACCCCGTACATAACACCAGAAACAAAACACTCGTTGACACCTCAAAATTTCCAAATCCAACACCAAAATGGATTCAGCCGACGTAATCGCCTCGAAAAAGCAAGTCAAAGACCACAAGAACCTGTGCATGCGTTCCAACAAAAAAATGCTCAGCATGCAAGAAGAAGACGAGTCGTTCCGAAGACTGCGAAATCTCTTCCTCAAAACCGAGGAAATGAAGGAAGTTTCAGCGGCCAAGAACAAGGAAATGGAGAGCCAGTTCAAGGAACTGCAGGAGCGTCTGGCCAACAGCTCCGGCTTCTTGAACCAGATCAAGAGCAGCATCGAGAACATCAAGTTTTCGTATCAGAAGGACATCATGGATTTGGAGAAGGTGACCGGGGAGAATCGGGAGGAGATCGACAGGCAGATCGAGGAGCTGAAGATGAACATCGGGAAGCTGCAATCCAGACCCAAAGAGGAGAAACCCAAGCCTCAAACGTACCAAGAAGCGCTGACCGAGGTGTTAACCTCTCTGCAGAACATCGCACAAGAGAAGTATAGCTCACGGAACGTGGAATAAATAACCCATGAAACGAATTCTACAAGATTTTGTTAAATTATGAGTGTGAAACACTGTGTAACCATTTTTGTAAAACGACATGCTTTTTGTGTTTGACTTTTAGATCCGGAAAACTATGTATAGCTAGCACATTCATCCTGAAACCTGTACAAAATAAAACCCAATGTCTGTGTAACTTTTATTCACTTATACAACTCGTCTGAAGGTATAATTTTTGAAAACAAAACATAAAGTACCTATTCCATCCATTTAGTGCAACAAGGATTTTAAAATCGTAAATTAATGTAAACCTTGATATGAAGCAAAGCATAGCTGTAACAATTTATTATAGATCCACATTTTTTAAATTGGACGAGGACAATTTTGGCAGATGGTCAGACTCGGTGGGAATAAAGACACCGATCGGTTTGATTTGCTTCCGTTTTTCGCTCAATTTGGAAAGTTCTAACTTGAGTTTGTCTAAAATTGCGAAATTTGGTGAGTTTATGGCAGCCTTGCTTTGTAAGAGGGTGATTTCTTGTTCTTCGAGTTTTTTCTCTTTGAAGCTCTTCACGGATCCGTTGCCGTAGAGGCGGAGGAGGGAGCCCCAGGAGGTGATGTGCGGATGTAATGCCTAGAAAAAAATATATGTAATTTTTTTAATGATAGATATGGATTATAAATTTCAAGATGGAGATACTGTGGTTGAAAAAAGAATGAGTGTAATAATAATAATTTCGTTATAAAACAGTAAATTTAGTTATTTTAAGAGCCTTAGTTGGCAGCCATGCAAGGTACTGTCGAATGTTGGTACATCGAGCTCCGATAAATGTCAAATTTGACGTTAAATTAAAAAGAGGTAATTGGAATTTTAAGAATTTTTGCGAATTTAATAAATTGTGTTAAACTGAAACCAACTTTAGATTTATTGAATTCAATTCAATTTTTCAATTAACTCAATTTGTTACTGAGTGTTTATAGGACATATCCTCCACTTTGTGACTTTCATTTAAATAAAATAAATGAATATTTCCACTTTCAATTTTTCAATCCTTGATTTTCAATTTCTCCAGTTTTTGATTTCTCAATTTAATGGTTTTGAAATTTTTCAGTTTTTTGGTTTTTAATTTTACAATTTATAATTTTTCGAGTTTTCAGATTTAAATGTTAAAGTTCTTAATATTTCAACTTTTGACTTTTTACATTTTTTGATTTTTATTTTTTCAATTGTTCGATTGTAATCTTTTTAATTTTTCAAATGTCGGTGATTTCACTTTTTTCAGATTTGCAATTTTTCAGCTTTTGATCTTTTAGTTTTTTTTCAATTCTTCGAATTTTAGATTTTTCAATTTTAAATGTTAAATTTCTTCGATATTACACTTTTGATTTTTTTGATTTTTCAGTTTTTAGATTTTAATTTTTTTCGATAGTTTTTCAAATTTCCCAATTTTTAATTTTCCAAATCTCGGTTCTTCACTTTTTTCACTGTCTCAAATTTCCGATATTTTAATTTAATAATTTTGGAATTTTTGAGTATTTCGAATTTTTAATTTTACAATTTTTTATTTTAAAGTTTTACAATTTTTCGATTTGTGTTTTTTCGAATTTTCAATTTTAGATGTTAAAGTTCTTCAATATTTCAATTTTTGATTTTTGAAATCTTTTGATGTTTCCGTTTCTGGATTTTTAATTTTTCAATCATTCGATATTTCGATTTAATGATTTCGGAATTTTTCGACTGCGATTTTTCAATTTTACATGTTTCAGTAGTTTTTGTAGTCTCCAATTTTTGAATTTTTGCTTTTTTAGTTTTTTCAATTCTGCAAATTTTGTATTTTTCCATTTTGGGAATTTTAAATGTTTCAACTTTTCACTTTTTCAATTTTTTAATTCAAAAATTCATAACACATTTTGATTTGTGATTTTTCGAGTTTTCAATTTTAAACGTTTTAGTTCTATGATATTTGAACTTTTTAATTTTTGAATTTTTCAGTTTCTCGATTTTTAATTTGCGTTTTTCGGTTTTTTAATTTTGCAATTGAAGTTTTTCGATTTCGGATTTTTCGAGTTTTCAATTTTAAATGTTAAAGTTTTTCGATATTTTAACTTTTGATTTTTAAAATTTTTTGATTTTTAGTTTCTGGAGTTTCGATTTTTCCGTTTTCGGTGTTTGCTTTTGGCAATTTCTCGATTTTTAATTTTTCAATGTTTCGATTGTAAATTTTTGAAATCTCGGTTTTTCACTTTTTTCTATATCTCAAATTTCCGATATTTCAATTTAATGATTTCGGAATTTTTCAGTATTTCGATTTCTCAATTTTACAATTTTCAATTTTTTGATTTTAAAACTTTCAATTTTTCGGTTGCGATTTTTTAAGTTTTCAGCTTTAAATGTTTTAATTCTTCAATTTCTTTTTTCCCAAATTTCTCGATTTACAATTTTTTGCTTTCACAATTTTTGGGTTTTCAATTTTACATTTTTCTATTCTTGCAACTTTTCGACTTTCCAATTTTCCAATTTTTGTTTTTTTAGTTTTTTTTTTCAATTCTTCAAATTTTGGATTTTTCCATTTTAGGAATTTTAAATATTTCAACTTTTCAATTTTTCAATTTTTAAATTCTAAAATTCATAATATTTCGATTTGTGATTTTTCCAGTTTAAATGTTAAAGTTCTTTAATATTTCAGCTTTTGATTTTTACAATTTTTTGATTTTTCAGTTTTTGGAGTTTCAATTTTTCAATGTTTCGCTCGTAATTTTTTTAATTTTCCAAATTTCGGTTTTTCACTTTGTCAATGCCTCAAATTTGTAATATGAATTTCAATTTAATGATTTCGGAATGTTTCAGTATTTCGGTTTTATAATTTTACAATGTCCAATTTTTTATTTTGCAATTTTTCGAGTTTTCAATTTTAAATGTTTCAGTTCATTGATATTTCAACTTTTTAATTGTGCAATTCTTGATTTTTCAATTTTCAGTTTTTCGAGTTTTCAATTTTAATTGTTCAAGTTCTTTGATATTTTAACTTATGATTTTTAAAATTTTTTGATTTTTCAGTTTCTGGAGCTTGAATTTTTTCGGTTTTTCAATATATAGTTTCTTCAATTTCCGCTTTTTAATTTTACAATTTACAATTTTTCGTTTTGTGGTTTTTCGAGTTTTCAATTTTAAATGTTTTAATTCTTCGATAATTCAACTTTTGATTTTTTTTTGTTTTTTTCAGTTTCTGGATTTTAAATTTTTTCGGTTTTTCAATGTTTAGATTTTTTTAATTTCTCGATTTTTCTTTCACGATTTTTTCATTTTCCAGTTTTTCGATTTTTCAATGTTTCGATGTTATAATTCCTCGATTTTTTTCAATTTTCCTAATCTTGATTTCTTGTTTTTTTTTTAATTTCTCAGTTTATCCATTTTCTTATGATTTCACAAGTTTACGATTTTGAGTTTTTAATTCTAAAATTCACAATGTTTCGATTTGTGATTTTTAGATTTTCAATTTTTGAATTTTTCAGTTTCCCGATTTTTATTTTTCAGTTTTTTAATTTTTCAATTCTTGATTTTTCAATTTCTCAAGTTTCCGATTTTTCAATTTAAGATTTTGAAAATCTTCAGTTTTTCGGTTTTTTTATTTTATAATTTTTCAATTTGTGATTTTTCGAGTTTTCAATTCTAAAAGTTAAAGTTGTTCGATATGTCAACTTACGATTTTTAAAATTTTTTGATTTTTCAGTTTCTGTAGTTTAAATTTTTTCAGTTTTTCAATATTTAGTTTCTTCAATTTCCGCTTTTTAATTTTTCAATTTAATGATTTTGGAATACATATTTCAGTTTTTAGGTTTTTTAATTTTACAATTTACAATTTTTCGATTTGTGGTTTTTCGAGTTTTCAATTTTAAATGTTTTAATTCTTCGATGATTCAACTTTTGATTTTTTTTGTTTTTTTCAGTTTCTGGATTTTAAATTTTTTCGGTTTTCAATGTTTAGATTTTTTTAATTTCCCGATTTTTAATTTTTTAATGTTTGGATTTAAATTTTTTTAATTTTTCAACTCTTGGTTTTTCTTTCACGATTTTTTCATTTTCCAGTTTTTCGATTTTTCAATGTTTCGATGTTATAATTCCTCGATATTTTTCAATTTTTAATTTCTTGATTTCCAATTTTCCAATTCTTGATTTCTTGTTTTTTTTAATTTCTCAGTTTATCCATTTTCTTATGATTTCACAAGTTTATAATTTTGAAATGTTTCAGCTTTTCAGTTTTAGAGTTTTGAATTATAAAATTCACAATGTTTCGATTTGTGATTTTTAGATTTTCAATTTTTGAATTTTTCAGTTTCCCAATTTTTATTTTTTAGTTTTTTAATTTTTCAATTCTTGATTTTTTAATTTCTCAAGTTTCCGATTTTTCAATTTGTGATTTCTCGAGTTTTCAATTCTAAATGTTAAAGTTGTTCGATATGTCAACTTACAATTTTTAAAATTTTTTGATTTTTCAGTTTCTGTAGTTTAAATTTTTTCGGTTTTTCAATATTTAGTTTCAATTTACCGATTTTTAATTTTTCAATCTTTCGATTTTTTTTTTATTTTTCGATTTAATTATTTTGGAATATTTCAGTTTTTCGGTTTTTTAATTTTACAATTTACAATTTTTCGATTTGTGGTTTTTCGAGTTTTCAATTTTAAATGTTTTAATTTTTCGATAATTCAACTTTGGGTTTTAATTGTTTTTGTTTTTTCAGTTTCTGGATTTTTAATTTTTCAATATTTAGATTTTACAATTTCTCGATTTTTATAAATCTTTCGATTTTAAATTTTTTAACTCTTGGTTTTAGAAATTTCCGGTTTTTGTTTTTCGGCTCCAATTTTTCGACTGTTCAATTTGAAATGTTTAAATTCTTCGATTTTTCAGTTTTTGAATGTTTTCAGTCTTACAATTTTTCAGTGTTCCGATGTTGCAGTTTTAAATTTTTCGACTTGCCAACTTTTGGCTTTTAATTTTTTCGGTTTTTCAATGCTTCGATGTTAAAATTTTTCGAGTTTTTTCGATTTTAAATTTTTTGATTTCCAATTTTCGAATTCTTGATTTCTTGATTTTTTTCAATTTCTCAATTTAAGAATTTTCGATTTATGATTTCACAATTTTACGAATTTGAAATGTTTCAGATTTTCAGTTTTTCAATTTTTTAATTCTAAAATTCACAATGTTGCGATTTGATTATTAGTTTTCAATTTTTGAATTTTTCATTTTCCCCATTTTTATCTTTCAGTTTTTAATTTATCAATTCTTGATTTTTCAATTTAAAAATTTTCAGTTTTTTAATTTTACAATTTTTCAATTTATGATTTTTCTAGTTTTCAGTTCTAGATTTGATTTTGATTCTTCAGTTTCTTGAGTTTTTTGGTTTTTCAATATTTAGTTTCTTCAATTTCTCGATTTTTAATTTTTCAATCTTCCGATTTTAATTTTTTTATTTTTCAATTTTTTTAATGTCTCAAATTTTCGATATTTCAATTTAATGATTTTGGAAATTTCCGGTTTTTGTTTTTCGGCTTCAATTTTTCGATTGTTCAATTTGAAATGTTTAAATTCTTCGATTTTTCAGTTTTTGAATTTTTTCAGTCTTACAATTTTTCAGTGTTCCGATGTTGCAGTTTTAAATTTTTCGACTTACCAACTTTTGGCTTTTAATTTTTTCGGTTTTTCAATGCTTCGATGTTAAAATTTTTCTAGTTTTTTCGATTTTAAATTTTTTGATTTCCAATTTTCGAATCCTTGATTTCTTGGTTTTTTTCAATTTCTCAATTTACGAATTTTCGATTTATGATTTCACAATTTTACGAATTTGAAATGTTTCAGATTTTCAGTTTTTCAATTTTTTAATTCCAAAATTCACAATGTTGCGATTTGTGATTATTAGAGTTTTCAATTTTTGAAGTTTTCAGTTTCCCCATTTTTATCTTTCAGTTTTTTAATTTTACAATTTTTCAATTTATGATTTTTCTAGTTTTCAGTTCTAGATTTGATTTTGATTCTTCAGTTTCTGGAGTTTTTTGGTTTTTCAATATTTAGTTTCTTCAATTTCTCGATTTTTAATTTTTCAATCTTCCGATTTTAAATTTTTTTATTTTTCACTTTTTTTAATGTCTCAAATTTTCGATAGGTACTTCAATTTAATAGTTTTGGAATTTTTCAGTTTTTCGGGTTTTTAATCTTACAATTTACGATTTTTCAAGTTTTCAATTTTAAATGTTTTAATTCTTCTATAATTCAACCTTTGATTTCAAATTTTTGAATTTTTCAGTTTTGCAATTTTTCAGTGTTTCGATTTTTTAGTTTTAAATTTTTCGACTTTCCCACATTTGATTTTCAAAATTTTCTTTCACGATTTTTTCATTTTTCAGCTTTTCGATTTTTAATTTTTTGGGTTTGTAATGTTCCGATGTTATAATTCTTCGATGTTTTCAATTTAAAATTTTTTGATTTCCAATTTTCGATTTGATTTCACAATTTTTCAGTTTCTAATTTTAAATTTTTCGACTTTTCAACTTTTGTATTTTTTAACTTTTCAATTTTTCCCATTTTTAAATAAAAATTGGAATTTTCAAAATTTTGGGGAATTTTGTCGCGGTTGGTACGACAAATGTCATATTGTAATGTTTGACATTTAGATTATTTTCACAACAATAAATTGTTATTAACAATCAGTGAAGCTGAAACCAATTTTTTGTGCCCCGAAATACAGGAAATTGCCCAAAGTAGCACCCAATAAAATTCGTTCAGCAAACGAAAATGTCATTTCGTTCCATTGACGTACACTGCACTCGTTATTCGGGATTTTCAAAATTTTGGGGAATTTTGTCGCAGTTGGTACGACAAATGTCAAATTATAATGTTTGAAGTTTAAATTAGTTTGACAATAATAAATTGTTATATCTCTTACGTGAGTGATACGCAAAGAATAATTTGTTGTGATAATTGTGAAAGTGTGGAAAATGTAAGTGATTAGTCGTGAATATTTGAATTTACACACGAAGATATTGAAAATATTATCCAAAAGGTATCGAACTCAGTTCTGATTACAGTTCTTTATTAATTTTCACACTTACTTGCAAAATCGCCTGCGACGCCCTCTGCTTCCCATCCCGTTTATTCTGACAAACCACCGTGGCCGTGTGCTTCCCCACCGTCATCGTAAACTGATTCTTCTTGTTCTTCAATGTATTCCCCTGATAACTAATCTGCAAATCATTCAATCCGAAGTTCCTCTGCAGACACGTCAACAGAATATCGTGAGGCGACGGCTCCGTGGTCTTCGCACAAAACTCCGCAACCCTCGGATCCTCAATCCTAATCTCGTCAAAGAACTAGACAAAAACACGTCAACATAACCCCAAAAAACACCAACCACAGCAAACAAATTACCGACAAATCTTGGTCTTGGTCTCTACTCGCACTAGACCCCGTCTTCGCATCCGTCGTGATTTTCGACTTCATCTCCGGAATTAAAATTTCCAAAGTGGCACGAGCCGCCTCTGACTTGGCCTGCTTTTTACTCGTGCCGTACCCCACGCCGTACTGCATGTCGTTGATGGAGACAGTGGCGGCGTACGGCGTCGCCGCGTTCTCTGAAACAAAAACGTGCCAGACCTTCAACTCAGCGCACAGCGACTCCACTCACCCAACTCCGTGAACTTGTACGTCGGCTGCTTCTTCAGCGCGTGTTGTACGTACTCGTGCAAAATACACACGTACGACTTCCCGTTCGGATTCATAATCCACTCTTTCTTTGCACTTGATCCCGTATTATCACCCGTTTCGCTGTTTTGGATCGGAAACATGATCAACTTGGTCCCTGCCGGTAAATTCGGTCTCTGTAGCTGCTTCTCGTGTTTCTTCTTTTTGGTAAACTGCCTTCGTTCCGACCACGATTTGAACCTCATCACTTTGATGGTCTTGAATTGGAACAACTTCTCGGCGTACTTTCTCACGTCCTCGGCTTTCAGGTTTTGGCTTTCTATGTTTTCTTTGACGGTTTCGATACGCGCGTTGGGGAGGTCTTGGGCCAGGGTTTCGTTGTGTTTTTGTTTTTCGCCCTCGAGAGCGCGGCGGTAGCTCAAGCAGGGGATGGCGCTTAGGGGGATTTCGTGTTTCTACACACAAAAAATTGTCACACCTGTGTGGCGAAGACTGAACCAGACGGTATTAACACTACGTGTTTGGCGGTGTAAAACTGACTTCGTGTCATACATGTCAAATTGAACATAACCTCAAATATATTTGTAATTAATAAATAATAACTATTCATCAAGTGGTGTTAATACAATCTGTTCGTTATTAAGTCGTACCCTAACTGATCCTGGTCCTAAAAAGTACGGTTTGGATAAGGTACACACTCTTGATACTTTGTGTAAGTATAAAGGCATTCCGCTGTTGTGAGTAACTTGGATCCATCCCTCTGGAAGGACGTCGAAGTGGTTCTGGCACTTTTCTATAAGTACAACTTTGTCTTTTTCTTCAAAAGGTTGTTTCTCTGAATCTTGGTCGTCTAAAAGTAAAAGAGTCAAAAAGGAAAGGAACGCATGATGAATTTCGTCTTGTTTTCGTCTCAGTTGACTTACATTTTTAAACTCTATGTTATCAAGCGTTTCCACTATAGGGTAAGCTATATAAGACGCCTATGGAGCAAGAGCATGGGCGTAGTCCAGAAAAACTGGTCATTTTAGATGTGTGGATTTACACTTCAACGAATTACGAAGATGAACAAAACTGAATTGATTGTTTAGAGAAGGAACTTTTTTCTATTAATATATGTGTTCATAAAAGTCACAAAATTGGCTTTGGTGGCGTTATAAAAAAATTGTTCGAAGGTTATTTCTCGAGTTTTTGATTTTTCAATTTTTTAGTTTTTCAATGTTCTGATTTTATGATTTTCTTTTTTCAATGTGAAACTTTTCAATTTTTCGATTTTTCAGTGTTTTCACTTTATAGTTTTTTGCTTTCTCAATTTTAATTTTTTCAGTTTCTCATTTCTTCAATTTTTCGATTTTTTAATTTTTCATTTCTTCAAATTTTCGATCTGCAAATTTTTCTTCATTTTTACAAATTTTTCTATTTTTAAATATTCAGATTTTATAATTTCTTGTTTTTTTTTCTTCAATTTTACATGTAACTTTTGAATTTATTAGTTTTCGGTGTTCAAACTTTTCAATTTTTCGATTATTTAATTTCTCCGTTTTCACTTTTTCAGATTTTTCCGCTTTTCAATTTTTAGATATTTTAGTTTTTCGTTGTTTTCAATTTTGTGATTTTTTGTCTATCCGTTTTTAATTTTTAAGTTGTCAAATTTTTCGAATTCTTTAACTTTTGGATGTGTCATTGCTACAATTTTTTGATTTTTCAATATTTTGTTTTTTCGATTTTTCCCATTTTTGAACTATTTTCCGATTTTTCAATTTTTGGTTATTTTAATTTTTATATGTTATTTGCCAAAATCAGTCTTATCTTATCAAGTACTAGCCCCGCCCACCCACCCTTTACTTTCTTGGAAGGTATCATTTGCCAAAATCAGTCTTATCTCACCAAGTACTAGCCCCGCCCACCCGCCCCCTATTTTTTCACAGGATGTCATTTTTTCCATTTTTCAATTTTAAGATATTTTAATTTTTCGTTGTTTTCATTTTTGCCATTTTTCGTCTCTCAGTTTTAAATTTTTCATTGTTTTCACTTTTGCGATTTTTCGTCCCAATTTTTAATTTGTCGATTTTGCATTTCTCCATTTGTCGATTCTCTATTTCTCGAATTTCAATTTTTGAACTTTTCGATATTTCATTTTTGCAACTTTTCAATTTTTCAGTTTTCAATTTTTTCTTTTTGCGATTTTTAGAATATGTATTAGATTTTTAATTTTTCAGTTTTTCGATGTTTCAGTGTTCAATTTCTAGATTTTCCATTTTTGATTGTACAATTCCTCGGTGTTCCGATTTTCCAATTTCTCGATTATTTAATTTCTGAGTTTCCCAATTTTTCAAATTTTTGATATGTTCCGATTTTTGAACTACTTTTCGATTTTTCAATGTTTGGTTATTTTAATTTTTCGTTGTTTTCAATTTTGCGATTTTTCGTTTCTCAATTTTTAATTTTTCGATTTTTCATTTTTGATTGTACAATTTTTCGGTGTTCAAACTTTTCAATTTTTCGACTATTTAATTTCTCCGTTTTCACTTTTTCTGATTCAATTTCCCAAATTTTGGATATTTCAATTTAAAATTTTTCATTTCCACAATTTTTCTTTTCGATTTCTTATTTTTCAATTATTTGATTTTATAATTTTTTGCCTTTTCAATTTTTTGATTTTGCAATTTTTCGATTTAAATTTGTCCGAGTTTTCAGTTTATCGATTCTTAAATTTTTTATTTCTTCAAATTTGCGATCTGCAAAATTTTTCGTTTAGGTTTTTTATTTTCTTCACTTTTACAACTTTTCTATTTTTTAAATGTTCCGATTTTATAATTTCTTGTTCTTTTCTGAATTCAATTTGTTCAGTTTCTCGTTTTTTCATTTTTTTTTGTTTCTTGAATTTTACGATAGTAACTTTTAAATTTATCAGTTTTTCAATTTGCCAAATTTTGGATATTTCAAATTTTAGATTTCTTTCATTTCTTAAATTTTTGGATTTTTCAATTTTTGGATTTACAATTTTTCGTTTCAGATTTTATTTTCTTTATTTTTTCAATGCGAAATTTTTCAGTTTTTCGATTAGCAATTTGTCGGTTTCAATTTTTGGATATTTCAACATTTATATTTTTTAATTTTTTGTTTCTTCAGTTTTTAATTTTCTGTATTTTTCAATTTCTCGGTTTTCAATTATGTAATCTGCAATTTTTCGTTTCGACTTTTTATTTTTCAATTATTCGATTTTTCATGTTACGATTTTATAAACAAAATTCTTTATTAAGTGTATTTGATTTGCAAAAAGCATTTGACACTGTTTGTCATGATATATTATTATACAAGTTAAAATATTATCTTCGTTCTGAAAACAGCTTAAAATTGATCAGATCTTATTTGACTGACAGGCAACAATATGTATATTTCAATAATTCAGCATCATCTAAGCAAAAATTAGTTGCAGGAGTGCCGCAGGGGTCAGTGCTTGGGCCATTTTTATTTTTGGTTTACATTAATGATATATCAAGTCTAACTTTAGATGGTAAATTGGTTTTATTTGCAGATGATACGTCAGTTTTAATTTGTGGGAAAGATATTAACAGAATAAATGAAATGTCAAGTGAAGCCGAAACACAAATAAGTAATTGGTTCTCAGCCAACAAATTGTTAGCCAATAAAGACAAAACGCAACATTTACTTTTTTCACTTTCAAGTGAGATTAATAAAAATGACTACGTAAAATTTCTTGGTTTCTATCTTGATGGGAAATTGACCTGGGAGATTCATATTGATCATATGTTAAAAAAATTGGCAACTAAATTATTTCTGCTCCGTAAGCTTTATAGTGTTGTTTCTCAAAATATTCTTGTTACTGCTTATTTTGGCACAATTCACAGTATTATCTCTTATGGTATACTCATTTGGGGTCATTCTGCTCATGCTGGAAGGATATTCGCTTTTCAGAGAAAATGTGTTAGGGTTATTGGTGGACTCGGATACAGAGAAGATTGTCGACAATTGTTTACAAAATTTGGTATTATTACAGTTCCGTGTGAATTTATATTGCAATGTCTTTTATTCATTTATCAAAACCAAGCGAATTATGGCTCTGGCGAACATGAATACGCCACTCGATATAGGCATTTGTTGCGAAATGATTTCATTAGACTTAAAAGATCTAAAAATAGCATTGCTCACTATTGTGTGGAATTTTACAACGCGGTACCTACTGCAATGAAAAAGGCTAATCTCAATCAATTTAAAGTATGTATTAAGAAAATACTGATACAAAATGCATTTTTCTCGTTTGAAGAATTTTTTCAATTTATGAAATCAATGCAAAACTAATGTGCTTTTCCTTTGTTAGTTATGATTTAGTATTAAGCTTTTGTTAATTATTTTATGACGTGTGTAAATATTTTGTATGGTAACACAAATATATATTACTATTACTATTACTATAATTTTTTGGTTTTTCAATTTTTCGTTTTGCGATTTTTGGGTTTTTCGATTCCTAAATTTTTCATTTCTGCAAATTTTCGATTTGCAAATTTTTCGTTTCGGTTTTTATTTTCTCTACTTTTACAATTTTTCAAATTTTTTTTGTTTCCTGAATTTTACGAAGTGTAACTTTTAAATTTATCACTTCCGATTTTCAAAATTTTGGATATTTCAATTTTTAGATTTTTTTTATTTCTCTAATTTTTGGATTTGCAATTTTTCGCTTCGGGTTTTTATTTAATTTTTTCAATTTTCAGGTTTTTCTATGTTTGGATTTTTCAATTTTTGGATCTACAATTTTTCGTTTCGATTTTTATTTTCTTTAATTTTTCAGTTTTCAATGTTCTGAATTTATAATTTTTCTTTTTTTCAATGTGAAATTTTTCAGTTTTTGGATTTGCAATTTTTTGTAAAATTTCTGGAGTTTTCAATTTTTGATTTTCACAAAGTGAAATCTTTCAATTATTGGATTTTTGAATTTCTCGGTTTTCAATTATGTAATCTGCAATTTTTCGTTTCGACTTTTTATTTTTTCAATTATTCGATTTTTCATGTTACGATTTTACAATTTTTTGCTTTTTCAATTTTTCGTTTTGCGATTTTTGGGTTTTTCGATTCCTAAATTTTTCATATCTGTAAATTTTTCGTTTCGATTTTTATTTTCTCTACTTTTACGATTTTTCAATTTTTTTTTGTTTCCTGAATTTTACGAAGTGTAACTTTTAAATTTATCACTTCCGATTTTCAAAATTTTGGATATTTCAATTTTTAGATTTTTTTATTTCTCTAATTTTTGGATTTGCAATTTTTCGCTTCGGGTTTTTATTTAATTTTTTCAATTTTTAGGTTTTTCTACGTTTGGATTTTTCAATTTTTGGATCTACAATTTTTCGTTCCGATTTTTATTTTCTTTATTTTTTCAGTTTTCCCGTTTTCAATGTTCTGAATTTATAATTTTTCTTTTTTCCAATGTGAAATTTTTCAGTTTTTGGATTTGCAATTCGTCGGTTTCAATTTTTTCATTTTTCCTTTCTTTTTTAGATTTTGCTATTTTTTCAACGTTTTGATTTTATAGGTTTTTAAGATATTAATTTGCAGTTTTTCGTTTCGATTTTTATTTTTCCAATTATTCGATGGTACGATTTTATAATTTGTCTTTTTCAATTTTAATTTGTTCAGTTTCTCATTCCTTCAATTTTTCGTTTTGCGATTTTTCAGTTTTTGGATTTAAATTTTCTCGAGTTTTGAGTTCTTCCATTCTCAAATTTTGCAGTTTTTTCAAATTTTCGATTTGCAAATTTTTTGTTCCCATTTTTTATTTTCTTGTCTTTTCAATTTCAATAATTTTAAATCTTTGATTTGCAATTTTTCATTTTTTGTTTCTTCAATCGTACGATATGCAACTTTTTTCAATATGAAAATTTTCACTTCTTCGATTTTTCAATGTTATAATTTCAATTTTATAATTGTTTCCTTTTTCAATTTAAATTTGTTCAGCTTTTCGTTTCTTCAATTTTTCGTTTTGCGATTTTACAATTTTTCAATTTAAATTTTCTCCAGCTTTATAGTGGAACATAATACTAACAAACAACTAATTATATTAGAAACAATTTTTTTAATTTTTTATTTTCTTCATTTTTACAATTTTTCTATTTTCAAATGTTCTGATTTTATAATTTTTTGTTTTTTTTTCAATTTAAATTTTTTCAATTTTCCAAATTTTGGATATTTCAATTTTTAGGTTTTTTTCAATTTTTTCTTTCGCGATTTTATTTTATTTTTTCAATTTTACGGTTTTTCAGTGTTTGGATTTTTCAATTTTTAGATTTTGAAATTTTTCATTTCTTCAATTTTTCGAATTGAAATTTTTCGTTTCGGGTTTTTATTGTTTTTTTTTATTTTGGGGGTTTTCAGTGTTTGGATTTTTCAATTTTTCGTTTTTCAATTTTTTGTTCAACTTTTGGATTTTTTAATTTTTCGTTTCCTCCATTTTTCTAGTTTTCATTTTTAATAGGTAATAATAATAATTGACTTAAAATTTTTGACGTTTTCAATTTTACGATTTTAGAATTTTTCTATTTTTCAATCATTGGATTTTTACACTTTTTTGTTTATCCGATTTTTCAATTTTTCGATTTTTCAGTTTCTCGTTTAATTTTTCGATCTTTCAATTACAGCTTTTCGACTTTACAATTTTTTTGTTTCTTCAGTTTTTCGATTTTCCACATTTCGGTTTATCAATTTTTACAGATTTTTTAGTTTTTGAAAAATCAAAAATAAAAACGAAAAAGTATAAAATGAAAACATTAAAAAATCTAAAAATTGAAAATCAAGGACTTGAAAAATTGAAGAAACGAAAAATCGAAAGATTAAAAAACTGAGAAATTAAAAAATCGAAAAAACGAAATATTGAAAATGAAAGAAATCGGATAATCGAGAAATCCAAAAATTGTAAATCTGAAAAATTAAAAAATTGGAAAATCGAGGAATTGAAAAATCAAAGATTGAGAATTTGAATAAACGAAAAATTATAAAATCGAAAGAAACACTGAAAAAATAAAAGAAATGAAAACACGCAAATTTGCGATATAAAATCTGAAAAATGAAAAATAAAAATCAAGAACTTGAAAAATTGAGGAAACGAAAAATTGCAAAATTGAAAAAGTGTAAATCGACGAAAAATTGCGGTATCAAAAAATTGTAAAATCGAGGAAAAAGGAAAAACAAAAAATTATGATGCTGCACGTTGTTTCAAGTGAGTTTTTTCTTTACAAAATTTTGTGATGACGTCATCAACACTGCAGCAAACACACATTATATCAAATTGGATAAATTCAGTGTAATACTAATAATAAACAGTACTTGATTTAATTAAGAAAATAAATTGCCTCATTCATAAATTTTTTTAGTCGTCCTGTATAAGTTATTCTAAAAATAACGAGTGCACTGATAAATCACAAATACAGAGTTATATTATTTTGCATATTTCAGACAGGATTTATTCGGGAAATGACGTCATCAAGTTTTTGGAAGGGGATAATAAAGGGAATCAAGTTTGAATAGTGATTTACCACGATTACAATAACCTTAAAACGTTACACAATAACAAAAATTGAAACAGACGACAGACAGACGGAAAGGGAAGACCACTTGTTTCATACTCTGGAGGTCATGAAACATCGAGAAAACATTAAAGTGGCAAATCGTCCAATGCACTCGATTACTATACTTCAAATTAAAAAACCATTTTACCCAAAAAAACTCAATATGAAGTACAATTTTTCAAATGTTACATTTCGGAAATTTGTTTTCTTATTACCAGCCACTACTAGATTTAATCAAGATGGTGTACAGTTGAAAATTGGTTCTTATCTACTTTATCAGTTATCCGTGTTATCACACAATTACCTCACCCAACATCACACTAATTTTACCTAAATCAGCGTCCGCTGCCTTCCGTTTCTTGCTCGCTAAAGCATCCTCCAGCATCTTGTCGATCTCCTCATCAGGAATATCCGAGTCATACGACATTGACTTATCCGAGTCCGAGTCCTCAGTCTCGTCCAAAATGTGGAACTTACGCACATCTTCGACACTTTGGTTCGAAAACGGACAAAGCGGGGACACATCATCATTCGTTGTTTCACAGTTACTTAAATCCGGGCTGTGTCCATTAATTTCTATTTTTAAGGCATCGATGTCCGGTTTTTGGTCGGCTTGTTCCTCTTTCAAAAACTCGTCCATTTTGTACAATAACCAGATCAATTTGAGACTCGCACTCGATTTTGCAACAAGTTGAATTGTTGAACGGTTTTCGTACGGTTACAATTTAAAGAACATTCCAACTATTAGATTAACAAATTGAGATGTTCTTTGACTAGTACCGCAGAAAGCCACTCCTGAATTACCTGAGGCGCTGAAATTAAAATTTTAGTGGAATTACAAACGGAAATCCGAGATTTAAATACTTTTGCCACACACTACACCCTAACCTTTATCTTTTTTTAAACAATGTCGGCGGCCGGTAAGGTAGGGCGCGGTTAGTGAGCGACGCTGGCGTCCTCTACATTCGTCAAGTAGAATATGAAAATCATAGAAGGAATTTGTAAATAATTTTCAAAGATTGTTGGTTGCATATACTTTTAATTTTAAAGTGTAGTGGACTACTTAGCAACCAAAATTGGAGTATTTATTATGTTTATAACGTTATTTACACAAAAGGAAACTTTTTTTCTATTTTTGACAGTCACTAAGTGCTTGTGTTTGACAGCTGAAGTTACTAGATCAATCCAAATCTAGGGAGTTTTCTGTCAAAAGCATGCGCCCCATTTCTAACCTCCAAAAATGGGCGACACGATTCAAGACTTGTTAAAGTTTATCCAAATCGGGGCCCGCCTGGACCTCAAAGCCGTCGCCGTCGCCCACATCCTCGGTACCCCCCAACCTCGCACCCACCTCAAACTAACCCCCTTTTTTCAGGCCTCACCGGAACCGACCCCGGGATCGCCGCCCTGATCGAGCACCCCGCCGTCCTCGTCTCCCTCATCGCCCTCCTCGACGACAACAGCGCCCCCATTGCTAAGGACTCCGCCCTCTGCCTCGTTAACATCTCAGCCAACGAAAAAGCCTCCGAGCGCCTCGTGGACCTGGACATCGCCGCCAACGCGCCCCCTTTGACTAAACCACCTGAGAACATCGTGGCCACCACTCTAAAATTCATATTCAATGCAGAGAGCAAGTTGGCTGATCCTTGTTGCATGATCCTGTCTAACTTGACTCGCCCCAGCCACCTCTGTGAAAAAATTGTAGAAGCCATCGAGAAAACTGGTAAAGGATTCGACGACATCGTTAACATTTTCACTAAAAAGCAGTACAATAAAGTGGGGGCGAACTTGCACTATTTGGGGCCGGTGTTGTCGAACTTGTCACAGAGCAAGCGAGTGAGGGGGTTCATTCTGGACAAGGAGCGGTGTGTGGTGCAGCGGCTGCTACCCTTCACGGAGTACAAAGACAGTTTGGTGCGGCGCGGGGGGGTTGTGGGGACCTTGAAGAATTGTTGCTTCGAGGAAGACTGTCATGAGTGGCTTTTGAGCCAAGAAGTTGATATTTTACCCAGATTTTTGCTACCGCTGGCGGGGAATGAGGAATTCGATGAGGAAGACAACGACAAGTTACCTTTAGATCTGCAATATTTACCGGAGGATAAGAGTAGGGAGGAGGACCCCGACATCAGGTGTATGTTGATGGAAGCCCTGACTCAGCTGTGTAGTATACGTAAAAATAGAGAGTTCATACGTGACAAAAACACGTACATTATCTTACGGGAGTTACACAAGTGGGAGAAGGACAGAAAGGCGCTTTTAGCGTGTGAGAACTTGGTTGACATTTTAATAAGGTTGGTAACGCTGATTTATAATTCCCGAATTAGTTGTGTGGTTGTAGAACTGAAGAGGAAATAGGGGAGGACAACCTGAAGGAGGTGCACGTTCCAGAGGATTTGCACGACGATTTCCAGAAAGCCGACCAGGAGTTTTTGAGAGGGGATTAGCCTCTCCTGAGGCGCCATCACCGTTTTACCCTTTCTCTCCACGTAATGTTTTTTTAATCCAATGAGGTCCCAGAGGGGAGGGTTTTTGAATTGTTGACGTTCTGCCTCCCCTACGACGCCATTTTGAACTCCCCTCCGCGACCTCATCGCCTCCATTTTATAACCTAATTTCTAATAAAATCTATTTTGATACTTCGCCATCCGACATCAAAGCCCTTCCACATTCCCAGAAGCCGTCTTTGATGTCTCACAATAATCAAAAGGTGCTGAAATCCTGTCGCAAGTATTAATAGCGCCGATTGATCCGGGAACGCGCTATTCAAAATTAGCCGCTCCTGTAATAAAGGTCGCAACCTGGGTCACCGCATCGACAGACAAATTATAAATGGAAGGAAACGCTTACTCGGAACGTCAGCACCTCGCTCCAGTGCATTAATTTTACGACGACCATATGTTGAAGGAGCCGTTTTATATATATAGTTATGCGCTCCGAAAAATACACAAAGAATGCGTTGTGTACGTTAGGGTCCGCACAAACAAAGAACAAATCTCTTAATCCGCCTCTGCTGATTTGAATTTATTGCGATATGGGTGCGCGCCGTTTTGTTTTGACTGATGGAGTTGTAATTGTCGCATTCGCACCTATTTATCTAGTAGGCCACGAGGAGTTGACAGACGGCGTCGATTGTTTTTCCGGGAGTGTACGGGGCGGGGCCGGGCCGGGGCACGCCCTCCGTGGATGTTTCTTGGCGCTGCTGTTGGCAGACGAGATTGTAAATCAAAAATGTTGGCTAAACAGATGGACGTATCGGACGGGTGTGTGTTGTGGTTTTGGGTCTGTTTATGGTTTTTTGTTGTGAAGGGGAGGAGGGGGGTGGAAAGTGACTGGAGTTTTTTGGAGTGTATGAAAGGGAGTCTTGATCGCTTTTTTAGGGATTGTGATAACATCTGTGTCATGATTTTTATATTTGTAGAATGTTTATTTTGTGTCGGAGTGAGTTTTTGCGGTGGGTATTTAGACGGTGCGGCAAGAATAAACAGCTGGAGCAAGAGATTAAAGAATTTTTAGGAAAAATGGAAAAACTGAGAAAACTACAAATTAAACTTTATCTGATTATAAATGCAAATTTTTTTTTAATTTCCACAAATTGTTAAACTATAAAGCACCGATTCTAAGGTAAAAATGTTGTTTTTAGTGAAAAATAAATACTTTTGAAATTGTTGCGTTTCTATGTGATCGAAAAAAGTCGTCTAGTAGGCCCTGAAATTTATTTTTAAGATAATGATGCTGGCATTGCGTTGTTTGACGCATTATTTGACCCCAGGTAAATGTCACATTCACAAACACCTACAGAGAACGCGTGGTGTTGCCAACATAATTTTTTTTAACATTAAATTCCAAAGGTTGTTTGACGACTTTTTTCTCTATGTTACAACAACCGAAAAATAAGTAGATATAATTTATTTTAAAACCAAAAATCCACTACCTGTAGAATTAAAAAAAAAACTAATTATATATTTTAATTATTTAAGGAATCAGAGCTTGTTGCCATGGATTATCAATTTGAGTTTAAAAATGTAAAGAAATCAACATTGAAATTTAGATGTAACATAACTTTAAATTAGGTATTTCACACTAAAATATAGAAAGCTGACACTAGCAACGTTGCCAGTTGTATTTACGAAAAAATTGCGGTATTGGTAGATTATTGATTTTGGAATAACATATTTATATCTAGAAATTAAAAAAAAACTAGAAAATGACGGTAGGTATTTTCATGGTAGTATTTTTTCCCAAAATTGTTTGTTTCATGTTGCACTTAAATAAAGTGGCAAAATTTCAAAAAAGGTGTACTTTACTTCAATTTACAACTACGCACCTATGTATAGGTAAATAGGAAAATAAAACCGTTTTTAAAATTAAAGATCCATGAACACCACAATTTAAGCAATAATACGCGTACGCTGGAAAGTATACCTACTTACAGGATGCGAGTCACTAAGCCCGCGCTCCTCAATATCTCGTTAATTATTAGAAATATAAAAAAAAATCTAAGGCCAAAATTGTAAAGTTCTCTATACAGGGTGTTCTATTAAAAAAAGAAATATCGATATATTTTTTATAAACACTGTGTGTATTAAAATTGTATTTAATTGTTCTGTACCTCTGTTTATCTCTTAAAAAATATGGCAACACACATCTAAAAAATAACGTTGTTTTTTTTTGTAAACCCGTGTATTGCTAAAATAAATTTAAAAAGTTGAAATTACATGGCAACGTTGCATAGGAATTACAAAACTGAATTATGGTTATAAAGCTTAATAACAGATATAAAAAAAAGTTGTGTGTTATGCTTCCAGAACAATACACTCTGTATAACCGAAAATATTTTTTAGTCAAAGAACTGTAAAACTTTATTAGCCTCTGACTTTTTTTCTCCTCTCTATAATAATATAATTAATGTGATATCAAGGACCGCGTGCTTGTTGACTCACCCTGTATATTTAGTAGGATCATTTTAACCAATAGTAGGTAGATGTTTTGCGGACGTTTCACAATTTGTAGAATTCGAAATTACCCGTTTTTCGTTTCTATTTCTATACTTAAAAGTTATAACTTTAAAATTTTAAATATTAAATTTTTTGAGCACAAAAAATTATATTTTTTTGTACTAAAAATTCAGATCACATTTTTTTAAAGAAAATTTTTCTAATCCACTCCCCATTTGTAGTTTAATAATGAAGCAAATAATCCAATGGACTGCTTCGCAATTTTATTTATCCCTGCCAAAAAATTGATGACGTCATTCCAAAAAACTTATTAGGCAATTGTTTAGCAAAAATATGATCTCAAATGCTTGTTTGTACATACTTTAATGATATATTTACATCTTAATTTTAACAGTTGTTTTTATATAGAATGTCCTAAAAAACGATTTGTGTGTTAACTTTTCTCAATAAAGATCTATCTTGCCAAAAACTGGTGAAGTCATCTCGAAGCAGTAGGTAGGTATACATGCAATCGAACGTATACAGGTATATACAGCTAAGTATATGTTATATTCTAACTCAGATTATTATGCCTAGTTTTCTTAGTCATTTTCCTATTTTCTATGCATTTTTTTCAACAAAAACCCGTATTTCTAGCAAAACATCAAAAAACAACATTGAATTTGACTTTTTACCCTGATTTTTAATCCTAAGTTCTAACTCAGATTTTCCCAAATCATCAATTTTTTTAGGAAAATTAGTCGATTTTCAAGTTTTGTCGTTGAAGTTTGTTGAGTTTGGAAAAACAGCTCATTGAAGTCGGTTAAAAAACACAAAAAATTGTGAAAAGGACTTGTTTTTAGGTTTATTTTATCTACTAAAACATCAATTTTTTATGGAAACTACCCCATTTTTTATAGTCTTTTTAAAAATGTGAGCCAGATTTTTATGCTAAAAATAAGGAAAATTGCTCTGATTTCTACGATTTCTTAAAAATGTGAGCCAGACGTAACAACTGAATCTGTGGTTTTTGTTGACAAAAAATGACTAAGATAATAGAAAAATGACTAAGAAAACTAGGTTTAGAAAAGCAAATTTTTCAAGGATTTATTAAATTTAATGAATAAATTATAAAAAGGTACCTACATTATCGTGTCGTGTGCTAGCAGAGTGTAGACGTGCATTTTGTCGCTCCGTACATTCGAATCATTTAGGTGAGTTTGTTCCATATTGATTTGAGCCTCTCCTGAATCTAAATAATTATATATACTGACGAATAGATTGGTTTGTTAATTTTTGTCGAAGGAAGCATGTTCTATGTTTCCTTCCGACTTTCACATTTTGATTGAGTTCGTTATCATTCGTTTTTCTTACCGTCGACTTTTTTGGCAGAATTTGCTTATCTTCTACTTGACCCCAAACTGGCCGCAGTGTGATTTCAGCACTTGCGAGTGTCGAAAATGGCTATAAAATGCAATAAATGCAATAGCACCGTAACTAGAAGTCAGAACTATTTGTCCTGTAATGTTTGTAAATCGAATTTTCACAATGAAGGTGTTAACATTGATCAACAATCAGCTTCAAATGGAAAGAAAATTAACATCCTGGTTGTGTGCTTTTTGTTCACTTTCTGCCTCTGCCTCTGCTGTTTCTCATACTCAATCCATTCCTTTAGTTTCTGAACTTAATTTGTCTCCTCATTCTTTGAAAATGATCGAATCAATCATTGGAAACCAATTGAAGCCATTACACACTATTTCGATGTTAGAAAAATCAGTTGGATTGTATATGCACTGATTTCTCTAAAGCATTTGACAGATTAGACCACTCTAAATTGATTGCCAAGTTGGATAGTTTTGGTATGTCAGATTTCCTAATTAAACTTTTTAGTTCTTATTTAATTGGCAGGACGCAGGTTGTTACCATTGGCGGTTTTCAGTCAACTGAGGTACATGTTACTTCTGGTGTACCGCAAGGGTCCATTCTTGGACCTCTGTTCTCTATTTTGTTTACTAATGACATTAGTATCGGCTTTAGCTCTGAGTGTCTTCTATATGCTGACGACCTAAAAATCTTTAGAAAAATAACAACATTTTCTGACCACCTTCGCCTTCAAGCTGATCTTTATAAATTAGAACAAGCATGCAATGTAAAAGGGTTGTCGCTGAATCTTCCTAAATGTAGTGTAATGACATATTCTCTAAAGCATATCAATAGTATATATGACTATAAAATTGGCGGCTTCATTTTGAAACGTGTTTCCACTGTGAGAGATTTAGGCATTATATTTGATCAAAAATTATCCTTCATTAATCATTATGATGAGATATTTTCCTCATCAATTAGGGCGTTAGGATTTATCATTCGTAATTGCAAAAGCTTTCAACTTAATAGTGCTCTCCTTAGTTTGTATACTTCGTTTGTTAGATCAAAACTAGAGTATGGTTGTGTTATTTGGTCCCCAGGGTACGATGTTCATTGTCTCAAATTAGAAAAGTTACAAAGGAAATTTTTAAAATTCCTCCATTTCAAATCATTTGGCTATTACCCTTGTAGAGGTTTTCCTCAAAATGAGCTTTTGGTACTCTTTTCCATTCAAAGCTTGGAAAAGAGGAGAGAAACTTTGTCTCTCTGTTTTCTTTTTAAATTGGTGAATGGTGTTGTAAATTCAAGTGCTTTAGCTGAAAAATTATGCTTTCTAGTTCCCCGGTCAAACATTAGAAACCCTTTATGTTTTTATACTGAAATTTCTAGAACTAATGTACATGTGTTCTCGCCCATTACAACTATGTGCAGAATTTATAATAATTATCGGAATAAATTTGATATCTTCAATTGTAGTTTACGCCAGATCAAAAATGCACATCTATAACAGTCTCCTAATTTTAACTATTTAATTATGCATTTCCAACAATCTAAGTTAGCCCTAATATACCACCCTAATAATTGGTTTATCTGTAGGGGTGGTCAACAATAATAATATTCTTTTGGAGTCATTAAATGGTCCAAAACTGATCTTGAAAATTTAAACATCGCAACAAGGAAAATCTTCACACAGTATAGAAGGCATCACCCAAAATCGTCGATTGAAAGATTCTCATTACCAAGACAGAATGGAGGAAGGGGTTTCCAGAACTTAGAAAACTTATATCAGAGACAAATTTCAGATTTGAAGAAGTATTTCTTGAAACGAGCGGAAAGAAATGAAATGTTTCACACCATCACAAGAGCAGATTTGAACCACCCACCTTTAAATCTGTCGAACACCGAAGAAATCCACACCCCCCACACAATAGATAAAATAATAAGTGGGCTAAAACAAAAACAACTACATGGAAAATTCTACAAAGACTTAGAAGAAAATCATGTCAATAAGAAGATGTCATTGATTTGGTTAAAAAAATCAAGTTTGTATGCCGAAACAGAAGGATTTGTGTTTGCTATTCAAGACCAAGTAATCAATACCAAGAATTATAGAAAATACATCATCAAAGATCCGAACATAAAAAACGACTGCTGTCGCCTATGCAAAGCAAAACCTGAAACGATCCAGCACATAATCTCTTCTTGCAGCATCCTAGCACAAACTGATTACAAAGCTAGACATGACAACGCAGCCAAAATCATTCACAAAGAATTAGCAACACTTATGAACTTAATCGAAGATACGACACCCTATTACACTTACATTCCGTCTCCACTCCTTGAAAATAACAAATACAAATTATACTGGGATCGCACAATACTTACAGACTTAAACATTACAGCTAACAGACCAGACATCATACTTATCAAAAAACACACGAACGAAGCCATTCTTATTGACATTGCTATTCCTAACACAAACAACATTATTCAAACATACGACACCAAGATTTCAAAATATCTACAATTATCGATAGAAATGAAATCCATGTTGAATCTTAAAAAAATTTCAATTCTACCCCTAATTATCTCTAATGTAGGTGTAGTTCCAAATAGCTTAGTTGAGAATTTAAAGTCTTTGCATTTGAATGATTCAATAATTGTCAAAATTCAAAAAGCTGTTTTGTTAGGAACATGTCATATTGTTCGTAAGTTTCTTGAACAGTCTGATCATGTCAGTCAGATTAGATTAGCACCAGTAGGTCAGAGTAGTGTAGGTCACTTTTCATGTGATGCGCGGATAAATGGTCGGTAGTTACGCTGGACTTTTGGGGATGGGGTGAGATTAGAGAATAATAGCAGACTAATTTGTATGCTGTAATTCTAGAATCTCGAAAGTTGTTCTGTTAATCTAATCAATGCATATCATTACTTGGTCTTAGTACCCGTAATGATAGAAGTCTTGCCTGAATGCCGGTCATTTCCGGGTCAGTGGTGGGTCTTAATATTAACAATAATAATAATAATTATTATTATTATTATTTTATTAATTTATATTATAATAATTATAATAATGAATGACTAATTTATCCATTCATTCCATTTGGTGGTCTATTGGGTTGGTCGATATCTGGATCGCTTGAGCTTTCCCTAGAATTGCAAAAATAAAACAACATAAAATGAAAAGTACTGTTAAACCATTCTTACAAAGGGTCCAGATCACCCAACGCTCTAATAAAATTACTTCTTTCATCTATACTTGTAAATTGAATGGTAATATTCAAATAATCGGTCATCCTCAATTTAATTTTGTTATTTTCTGTTATCACTAACTCTTGTCTTGGAAGCACAAAATCCCGGATGTTAAGGCTCCGCCACACAGTCATTAAAAGATGCCAAAATAAGGCAAAACGCCAACCCATTTTGCGCCTTTATTTTAACAGTTGAAGAGCAGGGCGATACATGTGCGTGCTCATGACATAAAAATCTTTAAGGAAGCGTCTTGTATTTTTTAAAAAACGTAGCAGTTTTTAAAATAAAAAATAAAGTGCGTAAAACCCCAGCGGATTTTTAGCGAAAACTATAACTCGGTGTGCTTTTAAAAAATATCGAGGTGATAGAGAATTTTTTTCTACTTTAGGCGCCAGTCTTCGTTTTCTGTTAAAATTTTACTTCTTTTAGTTATTGTAAAAAAACTGCAAAGCATTTTGCGCAAATTTTGGTAAGTTAGGCAACCCAAAATATTAGCTGAGGCGCTAAGCTGTAATTTATGGCCCACACAATAGAGCACCTTTTAAATACCTTAAGCTTATTTGATCATTCTTTGAAGTACCTGAGAATAGCATTAAGAAGGATAAAGACGAGTAAAATTTTTACAGAAATATGATGACATTTCTACGTTGTTGTCTTGATTTCATTCCCCCTTTTAATTAAATGAATGATATTAATTAAATGGAATTTTATTATTGGAATACATTTATTCAAGCTATATTAGGGATGTAGGATTTGTCTATGACAATATGTGCAGTAAAGCAAATAAAATTGCAGCTATAAATTACTACAATTCCTAAGAGAGGAGTACTTATACTGCATAAATGGAAACGGGTACAAACTGGCTGATGCGGTAACATCGCACACCTCTTTGGCCATTTGTATATTGTTATCAGCATATCGTGGTCGTTTTGTTGGTGATTCCATATCATTATTGTCATCAACATTATAATAGTCGTAATTACTTTCATCCCTAATCTTCTGAATATATATTGGACACATTCCAATAAATATTTTTCATATTTACTTTACTTTAACGTGGCGCTTACACTTGCTTTTATGAAAGATCTTTGTAGTAAATACCCAAGGGAATTTGCTTTTTTGATGACACTCACTGTCAATTCTGAGTTTACTATTACACCTAGATCCAATTCGGAATTACTTAGTACTGGTTAATACTACTCCATCCATTGAGTAAACATACTTATTATTTATTAAAGAATCACAGGAAAAAATCATCATCAATAAAATCATATTAATAAAATAAAAATAATAACAAAAAACCAAAAACCCCTTCAAAGCATAAAATTGAACATTTTACACTTATTGCCAAAAAAACTTAGCACATCTCTATAAATCTTTTTTCAATATATAATAATAATAATAATAGCGTTTATTGCCCAACAGTTTTAAATAAAAAACCAATTACAGAGCAACAAAATAATACAAAAATAATACAAAAAGAACAAAATAAATCAGCATTCTAAACCAAAACAAAATTATACTTATATAAATTTAACAAAAGGAAGCACAAAAAATAACAAATCATTAGAATGTATAAACAAGGTGAGAAAACAGTGCTAAACATTTAATTTTGCATAACAATGTTGAATGATTAATTTTTTAAATTTTAAACTATTAAACTGGAATATATCAATAATACAGAATTCCTTATTATAAAGTTTGCACATTGTGTATATGGGAGATTTAATGAAGGTATTAGAATGTGGTGTGGAGGTATACGTCAGGGAAATGTTTCTGGAATTTTGGCGAGGTACATGAAAAGATATATTAGCTAACAATATATTTCGGAGTTGCTGATTTCGACTCCACCGCGAGTCAATAATTTCTGGTAGCATGGCATTTAAATAAAATTTTTCTAATTCATTTGCCATATGTTTATACCAGAAGTCATCATTTCTTTCAATTAAAAAATATTCTAAATCTACGTTAGTGTAGATGATAAAATAACACCATTTTCTTTTAGTTATATGCAGTTGACCCTGCACCTGATACATACATATAGTTGTGGTTAGGGTTCAAAATAATTTTATTATCTGCATTTATTGTACAATAATTAATGATTTTATTTTTAATAGCTTCTTTAATATTTTTATCGCAAGCTGCATATGAACATTTAATCTCTGCAATTGAATCAGAATTTATTAAGCCATCTGGAGAAGCTCCTAAAAATTTTTTTTCGTTATCTATAAATAATCCACAGGAGACAACTTTCAAATTTGTTAGAGCTTCAAATTTTTCTTTGGCCTTTTCTTCATTGTCAATACCAAACTGTATACACTTGGGCAATTTTTTCATGAAAGTTTTATCGGAATGCACAATACCTTTAACGGTATTTGCGGTGTTAGTTCCGTCTCTCATTTTGCACACCTTTCCAAAATTGCTTGCAGTTAACCGAACTGCGCTTTCTTTACTCCGTTCACAACACATTCGCTGACCACAAGTAGCTTTTTCAATAGCGTTTACGTTACTTTGTGACAGCTTTATTAATAACTCCGATTTTTTTCTTTCATACACTTCAGGTAATATATCTGCAGTTTTCGTTTGTTCATCGTCGGCGATATTATTTTTGCCGTAATCGGAATCGGCACTTTGGATACGCATCATTTTGATATGGGTTTTATTTTTATTAACAGTTTTTATTTTTTTCAATCTTTTTTCCGCAAATGCCTTCGTATATACACCAACATTGGCCTCCCCAAAAATGTTTTTGAATAACTGAACTAAGAACGTACCCTTATTATTATAACTTATTGCCGCAGCAAAGCATCGCCCTTGATACGACCCTCGTGCAGAAAAATTTATTCTTTTTCCTCCCACAAATTTATTAACGACGGAATTGTAGCATTCCACAGCATTGTTGTCCACATCGAAAAGTAAACTAGTATTTTAGTAAGTATTTTAGTCCAAGATTATGAATGGTTATTACTGTTTTACAATTGCTTGATAACGTGCATCTGCATTTTTCAAAGCGAAGCCTGATTTCATCATGGATTACCATAAAAACATAAATAAATTAAAAACCCTGTAATATACCTATCTACACAAAAAAATTAAATTTGTTCTAATAAGGAAAAGCAACTTTGACAGCGGAAAATCATCTACACACTGTTTACTTTGCAATTGTATTGTCATCTGTTTGGTGTAAAAATTTGTAGAATGTGTAGATTAATGGTGTTTATCAAAACGTTTCAATAAAGCTTTTATACATAATCTCCGGTTTTTATTTATACCAGCGAGAATGAAAATATGTCAGTAGCTGAATCCCACAATCAAAATCGCACATCGATCAAGCCGTCCAACCTTTCCCCCACATTTTTTCCTCTCCTCCCGAGTGTACTCAAACCCCGCCCACACCCGACTTAAGTCCGTTTCTTTAACCTCATTCGACGGTGGTGGGGATCGCAGCTTCCAAAATTGTCATGGCCAACGATGACAACACGTGTGAAAAACTAACGCTTCAGTCACTCAACGTGCTTCATTTAAGTTGGCCGTGAAAATATCTAAATAGTTAATGATATAAAAGAGAATAATCCGTCGACAGTGGTGTGTCGTCGACGTTATTAGTTTTTCTTTCGCGCAGACACGTGCATACGTGTAAAAAAAATCCGGCGCGAAGAGGCGCAAAAAAAGCTCGGGGGATAGACGATCGAGTGACAGGTGCGTCCAGAGGTGAGTTGATAATTCCGATCGCGCCGCTTTTCCGCGTATTGTATCGTGTGTACGCGCGTTTTCATCACCGTTCTGTTATACACATACATAACTCGGAGTTCTAACGCCAGAACTATAAATTCCAGGTTAATACGCTCCAAGGTGTCGAAAATTCGATTTCATCGCTCGTGCCGTGATCAAATTAAAAGTGACGACGTTCAACTGTTCGCGACTGCTTGCGGAGCTAATCAAGTTTTCATTGGACGCGGGTAACTAGATTTTAGATTAATTGGGTTTTTGAACTCGGGAAATCTAGTGGCGGGTGTGGAAAAAGGAGAGTGACAGTGGCGGCGTGAAAAATATGTGAAGATGCACCACCAGCAGAGCAGCCACCCCCAGTTCCTGAAGGACCCCGCCGCCGCCACGGCCATGGACTCGGTGGCGTACCAGCAGTACTGCTACGGCTCGGGGGAGAACTGGCAGTACGGGTCGGGAGTGACGCCGATGAAGCAGATCGAGGGTGAGTGTACGGGGAGTTCGGAAAAAAGGTGATTGATGGCTTGTTTTTTCGAGCGCCGTATAAATCACACGCTTTGGTTACAAATGTGCAATGTGTTTAACTAATGAGACCGCTTGATTTAGTGAGATGGTTTGCGTCGGGTGGCTACAATTAGACGCCGGGCGTCGGCAGCGTCGGGTTGGGCGGCTGGCACCTCGGGAGCTTGATTAAGTGGGTGCCGAGGAGAGGGGTGGGTGTGGAAAAATCTCTGATAAGGCCGTTCTAGACGATCTGGAGGGTCCTGTGGTGAAATTTACAACTGATGTGCTGTTAAAAAAGGTTACTTTCCTTAATTGTAAACACACTGTAGATTAACTGTAATTCCAAACGACGTTTTGTGAACAAAATTAAAAAACTCGGAGGATTACAATTAGGTACGTACTAGAAAATTTTAAAGTAAGAACACGAATTTTCTAGAAATTCAGTGTAATCAGAAATGCTGTGAAATGAAAATCCAAAGAACTTCTAAAATTTTTGCAATTCACGAAGTTTTTAAGTCTTAAAAAAACTGTTGTTTTAGAAAGATCTTTTTTTCTTCAGAAAATTTCATATTGTTGGTTCAATTTTGACTCCCTGTGTTTAAAATCACGCATTAACTTGATTTCAGTTTTTCTTTTCTTCGAAATTTTAAAAATAACAAAATATTTATCTGTAAAATATCTCGATACAAAGTAATTAAATTTTAGACATAACGTAAATTTTACTCTCTTTAAAAAATAACATTTTTAAAGAAGTCAAACCCAGGTTACTATACGCTAATAGACCATATATAATATATTTATTTAATTTTTTAATGATAAAAGAAAAACTATTACAAGAGTCCAAACATTTAGTTTATTAATTAAACTTTCCTTTTGAAGCTAACGACACTGGCGTTTACAGAATTTCAATACTTCTTTCCGTTCTGAGCATAGGTATAAGGCCGCGGAGACTTATCTGAGAGATAAAATGGAGCCGGAATGTTTCAAAGAGTATTAAATTCTAATTCTAATTTAACGTTTTATATGACGTATTTTATACTGAGTTGCATTAAACAATAAAAATCTCATATTTTTGGATAAAATACCGTGCATTTGAAAAAAAAAATCAGTTGTATGGCATTGTGTGAAGTCAAATGAAATCATTTTAATAAATATACCACGATCTCCACGCTATTCCTATATATTTTTAGAGATTCTTGCAGAGATTTTTTTTTCTGAATTTATTAATGTTGGTACAAGATGTCACATTTTGTCAAATGAATTCAACTTTTGTGTGAAGATGGCTGTGATGAATTTATTGAGGCAGTTATTTGAATGATGTAGAAATCGATAGTTAATTCATCTCAAAATTGTCTGACAATTTTTATAATTTTTGTTAATCTACATTTTTTTTTCTACAAGGACATAATAATTCAGCTGAGTGCGGAGATTCTTTCAAATTCCTGTCTCTACATCTATTTAAGTTAATTATAGTAATAATAATAATAATAATTTCTAGCGCTTTCTTTAAAGATTATTAATATAAAGAACTGCTTGAGAGCTCCCAATGTTTTTTTTTGTTTACAGGGATTTGAAAGCTTTTCTGGAGTCCCTAGTGTTTTTTTAAAGGTTATGAAAGAATGCCGAGGGCCTCCTGTGTTTATTTTTTTTTTACGGGAATTTGAGAGAATCTTAGGGGCCTCTAGTGTTTTTGGCTTTGATTAAATCTAAAAGCTTCTCGGGAGCTTCAAGTGTTTTTTTAAAGAAAATTAAAGGGCCTTGGGGGTCTTGTTTATAAGAATTTGAAAGAGTCTCGGGGGCACTTTGTGTGTGTTTTTAAAGTTTATTAAAAAATCTTGTAGGGACCACTTTTTTTTTATTTTAATTTATAAGAAATTGAATGTTGAGAGTGAATCTACTGTTTTTGGTTTTGATTCAGTTTAAAAGCTTATTGGGAGTCCCCAGTTTTTTTTTAAAGATTATTAAATAATATAGGTATATTTTCCTGTGTAGGAATTTGAAAGTTTTTCGGGAGCCCCCAGTGTTTTTTGCTAAAGGTTATTAAAAAATCTTGACCCCTAGTGTTCTTGTTTTTGATTCAGTGTGAAAGCTTCTCGGGAGCCCCTAGTGTTTTTTTTTTTAAGATTGTTAAAGAATCTTAAGGGCTCCCAGCATTTTTCTTATTTATAGGAATCTTGGATGTCCCTTGTGTTTTTGGTTTCAAATTAGTCTGAAAGCTTCTCGGGAGCCTTTAGTGTGTTTTTTTTTTAAGTTTTTATTAAAGAATCTTAAGGGCTCTCAGCGTTTTTCTTATTTATAGGAATCTTGGGTGTCTCTCGTGTTTTTGATTTTAAATCAGTCTGAAAGCTTTTCGGAAGCCCCTAGTGTGTTTTTAAAGAATATTAAGGAATTTTGAGGATCTCCAGTGTTTTTTGTTTACAGGAATTTGGAAACTTCTCAAGAGCCCCTAGTGTTTTTTAAAGGTTATTAAAAAATCTTGAGGGCTCCCAACGTTTTTCTTATTTATAGGAATTTGAGTGCCCCTCTTGTTTTTGGTTTTAATTTAGGTTGAAAGATTTTCGGGCGCCCGTAATGTTTTTTTTTAAGATAATAATTAAAGAATCTTGCTGCAGACCCTCAGAGTTTTTTTTGCTTACAGGAATTTAAAAAAAAATTGGGGACTCCTGGTGTTTTAGGTTATGATTTAGTCTAAAAGCTTCTTGGAAGTCCCTAGCATGTCTTTTTTGTTTACCGGAATTTGAAAGCTTTTCAGGAGCCTCTAGTGTTTTATGTTAAAGGTTATTAAAAAATCTTGAGGGTCCCGAGTGTTTTTTTTTTGTTTACAGGAATTTGAAAGCTTCTCGGAAGCTCATGGTATGTTTTTGTGAAGATTAGTAAAAAATCTTGAGGGCCCCTAATGTTTTTGGTTTTGATTCAGTCTGAAAGCTTCTCGGGAACTTCTAGAGTTTTTTTTTTTAATTATTAAAAAATCTTAAGGGCTCCCAGCGTTTTTTCTTATTTATAGGAATTTGAAAGTGTCTTGAGTGCCCCTCATGTTTTTGGTTTTCATTCAGCCGGAAAGATTCCCGGGTCCCTTAATGTTTTTTTTTCAGAGTATTAAAGAATCTTGAGGGCCCCCAGTGTTTTTTTTTTGTCTACAGGAATTGAAAAGAATTTTGGGAACTCCTAGTGTTTTTGGTTTTGATTCAGTCTGAAAGCTTCTCGAGAATCTTTAGTGTTTTTTAAGCTTATTAAAGAACGTTGAGAGTCTCCAGTGTTTTTTTTTGTTTACAGGAATTTGAAAGCTTTTCAGGAGCCTCTAGTGTTTTATGATAAAGTTATTAAAAAATCTTGAGGGCCCCCAGTGTTTGTTTTTTGTTTACAGGAATTTGAAAGCTTCTCGGGAGCCCTTCGTGTGTTTTTGTAAAGATTAGTAAAAAATCTTCAGGGTCCGTAATGTTTTTGGTTTTGATTCAGTCTGAAAGCTTCTTGAGAGTCCCTAGTGTTTTTAAGCTTATTAAAGAACGTTGAGGATCCCCAGTGTTTTTTTTTTGTTTACAGGAATTTGAAAGCTTTTCAGGAGAATCTAGTGTTTTATGTTAAAGGTTATTAAGAAATCTTAAGGGCCCCCAGTGTTTCTTTTGTTTACAGGAATTTGAAAACTTCTCGGGAGCCCATGGTGTGTTTTTGTAAAGATTAGTAAAAAAATCTTGAGGGCTCTTAATGTTTTTGGTTTTGATTCAGTCTGAAAGCTTCTCGGGAACTTCTAGTCTTTTTTTTAAATTTTTAAAAAATCTTAAGTGCTCCCAGCGTTTTTTCTTATTTATAGGAATTTAAAAATATCTTGGGTGCCCCTCATGTTTTTGGTTTTGATTCAATCGGAAAGCTTCTCGAGAGTCCCTAGTGTTTTTAAGCTTATTAAAGAACGTTGAGGATCCCCAGTGTTTTTTTTTTGTTTACAGGAATTTGAAAGCTTTTCAGGAGCCTCTAGTGTTTTATGCTAAAGGTTATTAAAAAATCTTAAGGGCCCCCAGTGTTTCTTTTGTTTACAGGAATTTGAAAACTTCTCGGGAGCCCATGGTGTGTTTTTGTAAAGATTAGTAAAAAAATCTTGAGGGCCCTTAATGTTTTTGGTTTTGATTCAGTCTGAAAGCTTCTCGGGAACTTCTAGTCTTTTTTTTAATTATTAAAAAATCTTAAGGGCTTCCAGCGTTTTTTCTTATTTATAGGAATTTAAAAATATCTTGGGTGCCCCTCATGTTTTTGGTTTTGATTCAATCGGAAAGCTTCTCGAGAGTCCCTAGTGTTTTTAAGCTTATTAAAGAACGTTGAGGATCCCCAGTGTTTTTTTTTTGTTTACAGGAATTTGAAAGCTTTTCAGGAGAATCTAGTGTTTTATGTTAAAGGTTATTAAGAAATCTTAAGGGCCCCCAGTGTTTCTTTTGTTTACAGGAATTTGAAAACTTCTCGGGAGCCCATGGTGTGTTTTTGTAAAGATTAGTAAAAAAATCTTGAGGGCTCTTAATGTTTTTGGTTTTGATTCAGTCTGAAAGCTTCTCGGGAACTTCTAGTCTTTTTTTTAAATTTTTAAAAAATCTTAAGTGCTCCCAGCGTTTTTTCTTATTTATAGGAATTTAAAAATATCTTGGGTGCCCCTCATGTTTTTGGTTTTGATTCAATCGGAAAGCTTCTCGAGAGTCCCTAGTGTTTTTAAGCTTATTAAAGAACGTTGAGGATCCCCAGTGTTTTTTTTTTGTTTACAGGAATTTGAAAGCTTTTCAGGAGCCTCTAGTGTTTTATGCTAAAGGTTATTAAAAAATCTTAAGGGCCCCCAGTGTTTCTTTTGTTTACAGGAATTTGAAAACTTCTCGGGAGCCCATGGTGTGTTTTTGTAAAGATTAGTAAAAAAATCTTGAGGGCCCTTAATGTTTTTGGTTTTGATTCAGTCTGAAAGCTTCTCGGGAACTTCTAGTCTTTTTTTTAATTATTAAAAAATCTTAAGGGCTTCCAGCGTTTTTTCTTATTTATAGGAATTTAAAAATATCTTGGGTGCCCCTCATGTTTTTGGTTTTGATTCAATCGGAAAGCTTCTCGAGAGTCCCTAGTGTTTTTAAGCTTATTAAAGAACGTTGAGGATCCCCAGTGTTTTTTTTTTGTTTACAGGAATTTGAAAGCTTTTCAGGAGAATCTAGTGTTTTATGTTAAAGGTTATTAAGAAATCTTAAGGGCCCCCAGTGTTTCTTTTGTTTACAGGAATTTGAAAACTTCTCGGGAGCCCATGGTGTGTTTTTGTAAAGATTAGTAAAAAAATCTTGAGGGCTCTTAATGTTTTTGGTTTTGATTCAGTCTGAAAGCTTCTCGGGAACTTCTAGTCTTTTTTTTAAATTTTTAAAAAATCTTAAGTGCTCCCAGCGTTTTTTCTTATTTATAGGAATTTAAAAATATCTTGGGTGCCCCTCATGTTTTTGGTTTTGATTCAATCGGAAAGCTTCTCGAGAGTCCCTAGTGTTTTTAAGCTTATTAAAGAACGTTGAGGATCCCCAGTGTTTTTTTTTTGTTTACAGGAATTTGAAAGCTTTTCAGGAGCCTCTAGTGTTTTATGCTAAAGGTTATTAAAAAATCTTAAGGGCCCCCAGTGTTTCTTTTGTTTACAGGAATTTGAAAACTTCTCGGGAGCCCATGGTGTGTTTTTGTAAAGATTAGTAAAAAAATCTTGAGGGCCCTTAATGTTTTTGGTTTTGATTCAGTCTGAAAGCTTCTCGGGAACTTCTAGTCTTTTTTTTAATTATTAAAAAATCTTAAGGGCTTCCAGCGTTTTTTCTTATTTATAGGAATTTAAAAATATCTTGGGTGCCCCTCATGTTTTTGGTTTTGATTCAATCGGAAAGCTTCTCGAGAGTCCCTAGTGTTTTTAAGCTTATTAAAGAACGTTGAGGATCCCCAGTGTTTTTTTTTTGTTTACAGGAATTTGAAAGCTTTTCAGGAGAATCTAGTGTTTTATGTTAAAGGTTATTAAGAAATCTTAAGGGCCCCCAGTGTTTCTTTTGTTTACAGGAATTTGAAAACTTCTCGGGAGCCCATGGTGTGTTTTTGTAAAGATTAGTAAAAAAATCTTGAGGGCCCTTAATGTTTTTGGTTTTGATTCAGTCTGAAAGCTTCTCGGGAACTTCTAGTCTTTTTTTTAAATTATTAAAAAATCTTAAGGGCTCCCAGCGTTTTTTCTTATTTATAGGAATTTAAAAATATCTTGGGTGCCCCTCATGTTTTTGGTTTTGATTCAATCGGAAAGCTTCTCGAGAGTCCCTAGTGTTTTTAAGCTTATTAAAGAACGTTGAGGATCCCCAGTGTTTTTTTTTTGTTTACAGGAATTTGAAAGCTTTTCAGGAGCCTCTAGTGTTTTATGCTAAAGGTTATTAAAAAATCTTAAGGGCCCCCAGTGTTTCTTTTGTTTACAGGAATTTGAAAACTTCTCGGGAGCCCATGGTGTGTTTTTGTAAAGATTAGTAAAAAAATCTTGAGGGCCCTTAATGTTTTTGGTTTTGATAAAGTCTGAAAGCTTCTCGGGAACTTCTAGTCTTTTTTTTTAATTATTAAAAAATCTTAAGGGCTTCCAGCGTTTTTTCTTATTTATAGGAATTTAAAAATATCTTGGGTGCCCCTCATGTTTTTGGTTTTGATTCAATCGGAAAGCTTCTCGAGAGTCCCTAGTGTTTTTAAGCTTATTAAAGAACGTTGAGGATCCCCAGTGTTTTTTTTTTTTGTTTACAGGAATTTGAAAGCTTTTCAGGAGCCTCTAGTGTTTTATGCTAAAGGTTATTAAAAAATCTTAAGGGCCCCCAGTGTTTCTTTTGTTTACAGGAATTTGAAAACTTCTCGGGAGCCCATGGTGTGTTTTTGTAAAGATTAGTAAAAAAATCTTGAGGGCTCTTAATGTTTTTGGTTTTGGTTCAGTCTGAAAGCTTCTCGGGAACTTCTAGTCTTTTTTTTAAATTATTAAAAAATCTTAAGTGCTCCCAGCGTTTTTTCTTATTTATAGGAATTTAAAAATATCTTGGGTGCCCCTCATGTTTTTGGTTTTGATTCAATCGGAAAGCTTCTCGAGAGTCCCTAGTGTTTTTAAGCTTATTAAAGAACGTTGAGGATCCCCAGTGTTTTTTTTTTGTTTACAGGAATTTGAAAGCTTTTCAGGAGCCTCTAGTGTTTTATGCTAAAGGTTATTAAAAAATCTTAAGGGCCCCCAGTGTTTCTTTTGTTTACAGGAATTTGAAAACTTCTCGGGAGCCCATGGTGTGTTTTTGTAAAGATTAGTAAAAAAATCTTGAGGGCCCTTAATGTTTTTGGTTTTGATTCAGTCTGAAAGCTTCTCGGGAACTTCTAGTCTTTTTTTTTAATTATTAAAAAATCTTAAGGGCTTCCAGCGTTTTTTCTTATTTATAGGAATTTGAAAGTATCTTGGGTGCCCTTCATGTTTTTGGTTTTGATTCAGTCTGAAAGTTTCTCGGGAGCCCTGAATGATTTTTTTTAATTATTAAGTGATGTTAAGGCCCCCCAGGAGATTTTTTTTGTTTACAGGAAATTGAAAGAATCTTGGAGGCTCCTAGTTTTTTTGGTTTTGAAAGCTTCTCGGAAGCGGTTAGTATTTTTTACAAAAATTAAATTAAATAATCTTGACGGCCGTCAGTGTTTTTTTATTTATAGGAATTTGAGGATTCTGGGGGCCACATGAACAGTTTTGATTCGGCCTGAAAACTTCTCAGGAGCCGCTAATGTTTTTTTTAAACATTATTAAAAAATTTGGGGGCTCATTTTTTAATTTTCTTTAGGGGAATGTTGAACAATATTGGGGGTGGGGGCTAGTCCTTTTTGGTTTTGAATCAGTCTAAAAGCTTCTTGGGATATCCTGAAGCTTTTTTAAAAAAAGATAAGATAATCTTGGTTATCCTTCCCATGTTTTGCTTTTTTTTGCAGGAATTTGGAAGAATCTTAGGGTCTCGTAGTGTTTTTTTTTAAGATAATTAAAGAATCTTGAGGGCCCTCAGTATTTTCTTTTTTGTTTACAGAAAGTTGGGAATCTTGGGGGCCTTAGTGTTTTTGGTTTTGAAATAACCTAAAAACTTCCCGCCTCCTGTGTTTTTTTTAAGTACATTATAGGATTTTGGAGGGCTTTCCAGTGTTACATTAATAAATTAAAAAAAAAAATCTTTACAAGAAGGGTGACATTTAAAAAATTTAAAATGGTTTAATTTGACACACAATGCTATACGCGAAAAAATAAACACCAGAAGGCCTGGCCTTATTTTCTTCAAACACATTGTATACATTACGAGAGCCACAATTCAAAATTTAAAAAATACAAAAAATTGGTTTTGATTCAGCCTAAAAGTTCTCGATGATTTGATTCGTTTTGCTGCAATAAAGTCATTGTTAATCAAATTCTGTGGCCATCTATGGATGAATCTCTTTTATACATATCGGGTGTTCAGTTGAAAAAGTCATCAAATTGGCCTTGATTTTTGGTAATTATTGTACAGTATGTCCCCACTCTTTTTGTTATAGTTTCTTTGAAACCGTCAAGAAAAACACGAGAATTTCAAAATGAGTTAACGGGTTCTCGTGAAAAGAATGTTGCTGTCATTTATAAATTAAGTCGCACTCTTGTCATCAAGCAAAAAATTGTATAAACACAAAAAATGAAAACATGAAAGTTAAAGAAACGTATTATTTACAATAATGCTGAGGAACGTTTGGTGAGGACCCTTGTCAGGCTTTGAGGGTTAATTTATAGTTTTGCAGACAATCTGAACTCTATTACGATTTTTTTGCATCAGGTTTTAAAAGTTGGTGCAACTCATTACAAAAATTCGAATGCTTCTTGACTTCATAAAATGCGTATCGTACTTATTTACTAACAAGCTACCAAATCACCCAGTAAACAAAAAATAAAACCCATGTAAATAAAAATAACAACTACTTCAAGTACGTTGCACATCACTGGCAAAATAATCTCTTACTTTATTTTCGGCTGTGTTAGTTCACGAACAGTGACACAAAACGAGTGGATGGCTTTTAATTAAAGGGGCATTTGGGTATTGGCTTTTTGAAGATTACAATAATAAAAAAATATTTACGTTCAGGAGAAACAAAGTTTACGTTACCTACATTTCGCATACGGATTAGCCAATTTTTTATGTTATAATGGGCGAGTAGCGCAAAGTAAATGTTTAGTCGACGATCAATCTAGCTCCTGTTCATTAATTCCTAGTAGTTCGGGAAAAAACACGTTCATTAGTAAAACTGACGTAAGAATAGTTAAGTTGTGCGACATTTAAATAAATAATTTTTTAGCATGCCTCCAAAGCGCCGGCAAGGACCGAAAAGCCTACTCTCCCCTAGACCAAGCCGATTCCATTCCCGTCGAGCCGGAACCCGAACGCGACAACAACAACAGAACCAACACGCACAACAAAAACCACAAGTAGGTACAAAAAACGCACGCTTTATACGAGTAGCGCAGCCGCCGACTAGTAGTCACACCGAAAACCAATACTCTTAGCCTCAACAGCGCCATCGCGCCCGCGCTCACCAACGCCGGCGCCATCCTCGAGATGAAGCACCTCTGGGACGAGTTCCACTCCCTGGGTACCGAGATGATCGTGACCAAGGCGGGCCGCCGCATGTTCCCCACCTTCCAGGTGAAGCTGTGCGGCCTGGACTTGCACTCGGAGTACATGCTGATGATGGACTTCGTCCCGGTCGACGACAAGCGCTACCGGTACGCCTTCCACAGCTCGAGCTGGGTGGTGGCGGGCAAGGCCGACCCCGTGTCGCCGCCAAGGATACACGTGCACCCGGACAGCCCCGCCACCGGGGCGCAGTGGATGAAGCAGACGGTCTCGTTTGACAAGCTCAAGCTGACCAATAACCAGCTGGACGACAACGGTCACGTGAGTAGGAGCGATGGCGGCCGGAGGGGAGGCTGATTGGTTTGTTTGGGGGGTAGATTATATTGAATTCGATGCACCGGTACCAGCCGAGGTTCCACATCGTGTACCTGCCGGGGAAGGGGGGGAGCAGTGCGAGCGAGGAGGGGTGCAGCGAGAACTTCAAGACGTTCGTGTTTCCGGAGACGGCGTTCACAGCGGTGACGGCGTACCAGAATCATAGGGTGAGTGGGGGGGGGGTAACCATTTTTTACAAAGATAGTTGTTTAGAAAATTTATTTCTAGAAAATGTATTGAAGTGACGTCAATTCCAGAAGGAATGCAGAAAGAGCTTACTTTCAGCACGCTCATGGAAAAATAGTTCTTTGTAGCTTTATATTTTTAATTTTAGAAGTTGCACATTTTGGTTTTTTATTAGCATGTTTTTTTCTTTTTTTTTATTAGATAACGCAACTGAAGATTGCGAGTAATCCGTTCGCCAAGGGCTTCAGAGACTGTGATCCAGATGAAACGTGAGTATTCTAGGTATATTATTGAAAAAAGTTTCCTTTTGAATCGTGATTTTAATATAGTCGATGAAAAAAATGAAAATTGTAGAAGGAAACATGTTGTTCTAGTCACTAGTGATAAAAATATGTACTTTACTCACTAGTGCGAGTTTAAAAATTCGTAAGAATCCTGTCCACGTTCATGAGAAAAATCCTTATTTCTTTGAACAAATAAATCATACACACATAAAACTCATGTCTTATTGTCATCTGTACGTTTTTTGAACGTTTTTTTTTTCTTTTTTTTTTCTTATGTACTTTATTACAACGATTAAATTCGAAACAGTATATCATTAAAATTTTGACAGCTTGCCACAGAATTTATTACTCGGAGAGCAATCAAAAACATGATCAAAGACAGTCATAGATTTTTGAAGATTTGTCTTTGATACATTTTTTGTCTTGTTAGATTACCTGTCAATTTGAAAATTTGAATGGTGAAAATGTAACAATCAACGACAAACTTTCAAAAATTCATGGCTGTCTTTGATCGTGTTTTCATTGTTTTTTCGGTAGTTTCAAAGGCAGACTTAAAATATTGACAGATTGAATAATCGAAAAAATGAAAAATTCAAACCTTGAAAAATCGCAAAACTTAAATATCGAAAAGCTGAGAAATTGAAAAATCAATTTAAAAATTTGAAAAATCGAAATTTTGAATATAGTCGAAAAATTGAAAAATCTCAAAACCGAAATATCGAAAAATTGAGAAATCGAAAAAGCAAAAAATTGATAAACCGGAAATTTGAATAATCGAAACATTTTTTGAGACGAACAGAAAAAGTGGAAACGCTAAAAACTGAAAAATGGAAAATTTGAATACATAACCGAAAAGTTGAGAAACCAAATACTGAAAAATCGAGAAGAGGAATAGAATTGAAGAATCGAAAAAGTGAAAAATCGAAATTCAAAAATCGCAAAACTGAAATATCAATGAATTGAGAGATCGCAAAGTCGGAAGAATAAAAAAATCGAAATTTAGAATGTCGAAAAATCGAGAAAATGAGCATCTGAAAAATCAAAAAGTCGAGAAATCGGAAAATTGGAACATTAAAAAATCGAAAATTCGAGAAGTCATTAAATCGAAAGTTGAAAAATTGAAAACTTAAATATCCTAAAGTTGAGAAACCAAAAGTTTGGAAAATCTAATAGAAAATTTGAAAAATCTGGATTTTAAAAAATCGAGAAATTGAAAAATCCGGAAATTAAAAAGTCGAAAAATGGAAACATTGAAAAATCGTAAAACTCAAATATTGAAAAATTAAGAAATTGAAAAATGGAGAAACCGAAAAAAATTGATAAATCGAAAGTTTGAATAATAATCAAAACATTGAAAAATCGTCGAATCCAATAACTGAAAAATTGAGAAACCAAAATAGCGAAAAATCGAAGAAGTGAAAAATCGAGAAATTGAAAAATCGTAAAACTGAAATATCGAAAAATGGAGAAAATCAAAAATCCAAATGAAAAATCGGAAAATCGAGAAATTGGGAAATTGAAAATTCTAAACGCAAAACTCAGAAAGTCGAAGAATTAAAAAATCGAAATATCAAAAAATCGAGGTACTGAAAAATCTAAATGAAAAATCGGAAAATCGAGAAATCGGGAATTCGAAAAATGTAAAAATCGAGAACAGGAATTTCGAAAAATCGAGAAAATGAACAATTTACATATCAAAAAGTCGAAAAATCGAAAAATCAGAAGATCGGAAAATCTAATGCAAAATTTGAAAAATCTGGATTTTAAAAAATCGAGAAATAAAAAAATTAAGGAATTACAATGTCGAAAAGTCGAAAAATGGAAAAATCGAAAAATTGCAAAACTGAAATGGGGAAAAACTGAGAAATTAAAAATGGAGAAACCGAAAAAAAATTGATACGTTTAAAGTTTGAATAATAATCGAAACATTGAAAAATCGAAAAAGCGAATAACTGAAGAACAGAAAAAGAAAAACTGAAACATTGAAAAAATTGAAAAATAGAGAAAATCAAAAATTTAAATGAAAAATCGGAAAATCAAGAAATCGGGTAATTGAAAAACCTGAACGGAAATTCCAGGAACTCAAAAATCGTAACATTGAAATGAAGCAATTCTGAAATCGAAAAGTCGACGAATCGATAAATCGAAAAATTGAAAAATATTAATGAAAATCGAATATTGGAAGAATCGAACAAGTGAAAAATCGAGAAATTGAAAAGTTGTACAACTGAAATATCGAAAAGTTGAGAAATCAAAAAGCCGAAAAATCAAAAGATTGGAAATTCTAATAGAAAATTTTAAACATCTGGATTTTAAAAAAACGAGAAATTGAAAAATCAAGAAATGAAAGAGTTGAAAAGTCGAAAAATCGAACTGAAATGTCCAGAAATTGAGAAATCGAAAGATAGAGAAAACCAAAAATCTAAATGAAAAATTGGAAAATTGAGAAATCGGAAAATTGAAAAATCCAGAAATTCAAAAATCGTCAAAGTGAAATGAAAACATTCTGAAATCGAAAAGTAGAAGAATCGAAAAATCGAAATCTCGAAAAATCGGAAAACTGGAAAATCTTAATGAAAAATCGGACAATCGAGAAATCGGAAAATCGGAAAGTCTACAAATCCAGAAATTGAATGTGGAAAAATCGAGAAAATGAACAATTGATTAGCCAAAAAGTCGAGAAATCGGAAAATTGATGTTTACATTAAAAATTCGAAAATTCGAGAAATCGATAATAATAATAATAATAATAATAATGTTTATTAACGGATATATACCTTTACATAGAATTATAAACATACAATTACCTTTACATAGAATTATAAACTTACAATTACTTATAAATAAGCAAATATTAAAAAGAAGAGAAAGCAACAAAAACAAAAAACTAACATTCTAAAATACGCTTTAAATTGAATATCGAAAAATTGAAGAATCGGAAAAACTGAAAAATCGAAAAACTGAAAAGTCGCAAAACTGAAATATTGTAAAGTTGATAAATCAAGAAGTCGAAAAGTCGGAACTTTAAAAAATCGGAAGATGGAGAAAGAAATCAATTAAAAGTTAGAAAATTGAAAAATGGAAAAACCGAAAAAGAAAGATAGATCAAAAGTTTGAATAATCCAAACATTGACAAAGCAATAAATCGAATAATTGAAGAATAGAAAAAGAAAAAAATCGAAAATTTGAGAAATCAAAATAATGAAAAATAGAAAAATTGAATAATTGAAAAATTGAAAAAATGAAAAATCGAGAAATTGAAAAATAGCAAAACTGAAATATTGAAAAGTTGAGAAATCGAAAAATCGATAAAATAAAAAATGTACCTACATGAAAAACCGGAAAATTGAAAAATCTAAACGCAAAATCTAGAAATTGAAACATTTCAAAACTGAAATATCGAAAATATTCAGAGATCGAAAAATCGAAGAATCGAGAAGAGAAATCGAAAAGTCGAAAATCAATAAACTAAAATCTCGAAAAATCGAGAAATTGAGAAATCTTAATGAAAAATCGCAAAATCGAGAAATCGGGAAATCGAAAAATGTAAAAATCGAGAAAATGAAAAATTAAAAAATCAATAAGTTGAGAAATCGAAAAATGGGAGAATTGAAACATCAAAAAATCCAACATTCGAGAAGTCGATAAATCGAAAATCGAAAGATTGAAGAATCGGAAAAGTGGAAAATCGAAAAATTGAAAAGTCGCAAAACTGAATATCGAAAAGGTGAGAAATCAAAAAGTTGAAAAATCGAATCGAAAATTTGAAAACATGGAATTTTAAAAAATCGAAAGATACAAAAATCAAAAAATTAAAAATTGAAAAGTAAAAATTGAAACCGAAAAAAGTGATAATCGAAACATTGAAAAATCGGGAAATCGAATAATTGAAGAATAGAAAAAGTGAATAATTAAGACATTGAAAAGTCGTAAAACTGAAATATCGAATAATTGAAAAATCGAAAAATCGACAAAATTAAAAATGTAAATGAAAAATCGCAAAACTGAAATATCGAAAAACTTCAGAAACCGAAAAGTTGAAGAATCGAAAAATCTTATTGAAAAATCAGAAAATCAAGAAATCGGGAATTTGAAAAATGTAAAAATCGAGAAACTGAATGTCGAATAATCGAAAAATCGAGAAAATGAAAAATTGAAAACCCAAAAAGCCGATAAATCGAGAAATTGAAAAATTAAAAAGTCGCAGAACTGAAATATCGAAAAGTTGAGCAATCAAAAGGTTGGAAAATCTAATAGAAAATTTGAAAATTCTGGATTTTAAAATATCGAGAAATTGGAAAAGCAAGAAATGAAAAAGTCGAAAAGTCGAAAAATGGAAAAAATTGAAAAATCGTAAACCTCAAATATCGCAAAATTAAGAAATTGAAGAATGGAGAAACAGAAAAAAAAAGATAAACCGAAAGTTTGAATAATAATCAAAACATTGAAAAATTTAGAAATTGAGAAATCAAAATAGCGAAAAATCGAGAAATCGAAGAAGTGAAAAATCAAGAAATTAAAAAATCGCAAAACGAAAATATGGGAAAATAGAGAAAATCAAAAATCTAAATGAAAAATCGGAAAATCAAGAAATTGGGAACTTGAAAATTCCAAACGCAACACCCAGAAAGTTGAAGTCGAAAAATCGAGGACCTGAAAAATCTTAATGAAAAATCGGAAAATCGAAAAATTGGGAATTTCAAAATGTAAAAATCGAAAAAAGGAATGTCAAAAAATCGAGAAAATGAACAATTGAAAAATCAAACAGTCGATAAATCGAACATCGAAAAATTGAAAACTCGTAAAACTGAAATATCGAAAAGTTGAGAAATCAAAAAGTCGAAAAATCGAAAAATCGGAAGATTGGAAAATCTAATCCAAAGTTTGAAAAATCTGGAATTTAAAAAATCGAGAAATTAAAAAATTAAGGAATTAAAATGTCGAAAAGTCGAAAAATGGAAAAATTGAAAAATCGCAAAACTGAA